GTCAATTCAGTGACGTCAGGTGGTTCAATGCGCATGCTCGTGTGAATGAGCGCGCGCACCCACGTGGCCGGCTAGCAAAATTGAGAAAAGGGGCGTGGAGGAGGTAACATCAGATGTCGTCATGTTCTCGTCTCTAGCGGCGTTCCTAGGGTCCTCGTCGTCTTCCTGCGGGAACTCCTCACAGTTTCCCGGGACGAAGACCCTCCGTCCGCTATCGTAAGGACTCTCGTCGTTCATTCCTTTGATGAGGGGTGGATCACACGATGAAGAGCCAGAATGGTATATACGAGACTCTTTATATTTAGTGGGTATGTGGAGATGGTTTGAAGAGAGTGTCTGGGACAGTGATTTGGAGTCTGATGACCGTCTCTCCAGCACCCACACCAGGAGTCTTCCCAGCTCTGATACAGTGTCGAGGACTGGAGTCTCCTTTAGTGACTACAGCAGCCATGTGGTCATCAACTACAGTTTCAAACGAATACTATGTTACGTATCTTGCACCAGTGCTACAATACTGTATATGTGCATGAATTTTGATATCTCCCTGCTAAGTGCCATCTCATAAGGCTTGTACGTGTACAACACGCTCAGTCCATTCCTACACTATATGGTACAATGTAAGAGCACCAACACATCCACTTTTGAAGCCACTCCGAGTTCAGTTCACTGCAGTGCAACACACTGGCACACTTACATCTTTAGTATAATATTATAGCAGCAAAATTATCACAAAAATGGTGCATGAGTACAAATGAGTAGGTTTTGGGTACAATTGGTAATTTCTGGTGTGTATAGTGTTTTTGATACTACAACAGCTACAGTCTCTATCACCCAGAGAACAGTATAATGTGTAGTTAGTTCTTCCTCTTCTTCTCCTGGAGAGATAAAAAAGAGAGAAGACAGGGTAGGGGGAGGAAGTCAAATATGTGGACGCATCAAGTGAAAGGTAGAATTGATGTATGGAGCAATTCACACAGTTTGAAACTCAACTCAAAAACTCAGTTTACTGTAAGGTTCAATTTTTACTTCATTTATTTCCAAGGAGTAAAAAAAGACGGAAGACTAAGTGTGGATCACACGTAAATTTACAGCCTCAGTAAAAAAAATCCTCTTTCCCTCCCTCCCTCTCTCCCAGTCCTCGTCTCACAAGAGGAAACAAACCTTGGAGGCCAGGATTACGAGCAGACGACGGAAGATGTTGATGAAGTCGAGGAAGAGGTTGAGAGAGTGACGGACGTAGTCGTTGTCTCCGTTGTTGAATCGCTCCACAATCAGTTGGGTGTCAAAGAGAACGAACCCACAGAACAGAATGAGACCACCGTACACATCCAGCTGTGAGGGGGAGAAGGTGGTCAAGAGTCAACTAATTGTCATTTACAACAAGAAAGAAGTCTATAAGTACAGGTTATACTGTGCATCAATGGAAATATGGGATTTAGACACCCCGAGGGGCCTAGAAATAAGCCAGAGAAGAGCCCACTCTAATGTTTGCTTGTGACATCTGTGCATACTGCGTGGTGACACTTACTGTGTAGGGACTGTATAGGGGGACAATGAAGTGTATGTACCTGTACTACATGTGTATGGATGTGTGTCTCTCCCACTACGTCTGTGTTTACTCGGCATGATGGTTCAACATGTGGAAACAGTCATGCCACGTACAACGTGTAAACATGCACCGGGACAGACCTGGAAACGAGAGACTATACTTTACCTGGAAGACCATGTAAGATCCCAAGAAGATATTGAAGAACAGCATCATCACCAACATGTTGAGTCCAGAAATCAGAAACCCTACACACACATACATACAAGCGGATATCATACAACAGCAACAATTGTGACAAAAACTGCCAGAGTGCGAGGAAAAAAACATTCCGTTTTCCGTTGTGAAATGTATACTGCAGTTCTCCTGCTCTACAATACAGTCATCCATAAAGAAACTGATACATTAACATGTACAGTAACGTGATGCTACTGGTAAACTAGCTATTGTCACATGACATAGTGTGGCTCCATGTGCATTAGTAGTTGGAAAAGCAGCAACTGCCAATAGTTTGGGGAAACCCCAGGGAAAACCAGGGAAACCATACAAACAGTAGTCCAAAGGAAGGACAGTGTTGGTAAGTTATCTGTAACTTCTGGGTGTGTCCTTGCAAATCTAGCATTGTCTGACATTTCGTATGAACAAACAGAAAACCTTATCCCATGCTCTGTTGGTGAGTAATGAAATAGCTGCTGGCAACCTCCCAAGAACAGCATACTTCTCCTCTCGGCATACAGAGAGGCAAGACTGAGGCTACCAAATATGGCACACGAACCAAGGAATGCTGTCGGGATGATACTGTGTACCACAGAGAGGTGTGGAGAGAGAGAGAGAGAGAGAGAGAGAGAAGATAAAAATGGATAGGTCGTGTTTACGTAGACATGATTCCGTCCACCGCACCACTCGCTATCAACTTCCCATCCGGACTCTAGTGGGAGAGGGGTTAATTAATGGGATCACATGATGTCATGTGACCCACGTAGGTGACGCTCATGATGAATTTGCCGTGAGTGTCTAGAGAACTGGCTTTCTTTCCTTCTGATGTACTGAAGAGGTTGATCTTACCATTGTGACTACCTGTTGCTATGAACTAGAGAGGGAGAGAGAGACAACCCTGCTTTAGAAGAAATCTTCAGGAGGATGAAGTTTGTGTAAAATGAAAAAGTGGACACCAATGAGACAGAAGCAAGTGTCAATATTAGTGAGATATCCCATTTCAGGGGTTAAAGTGCACAGTAAGAACTGTTCTTGGGGAAATAATAATTTGGAGAGGTGTTCAAAGAGAGAAAGGAAAGGTGTCCTTGTTAGAGAGGTGTCCTCATTTCAGAGGTGTCCTAAGAGAGAGGTTCCACTGTATATACCTCAGAGGAGGCTGGATACGAGATGTGTACCTGTGAGTCAGGGGAGAAGGTGAGTGTCCACACATCCACTGGACCTCCGTCAATACTCCTGACACATTCTCCTGTGGCGAGGTCCCATGTCCTGATACCACCATCCAGACCACTGCTGGCTCCCACTGCATCCACACACCAACAATCATCACAGACTATACTAGAGGTTTGGCAAGTGAAGTAAGCAGTTTGATTTTCCGCGTGTTTCACGTGTATTTAGAATCTACGGCACGCGTCACAATATAGAAAATTGCCGCATTGAAACGACTAGGAAGGCAATGTTGTGGCTTTGTTTACCTGTTCCAGTAGGATTGGTTGCCACGGAGATGATTCCCAATTGATGCCCCTCAAAGATCCACTTCGGTTCCAATAGGAATGGTGGGAAGTCGTGTTCCTGGACCCGATACTACCAGTAGCCCCCGTCACACAATTCCGATCTGGGGGGATGTGAGTCCGGTACCCCTGTTGTCAGTTAATGAGCACCCTCGCAGTGGACGAATTTCCATCCCTAATTATATACATACAATTGTATACACGACTGGCATTTCGGCTGCAGTACCTCAGCCTTCATCAGAGTGAATGAAATCTAGTGACTTATTAACCCTCGGCGCGCATGCGCAGCGAGGGTTACTGTACTTGGTTTGTGTGTCTGTGTGTCTGTGTGTCCGTTCACGTTTTCTGCCACTAGATGCAACAAGATCGCCAAAACTCTACAGCAACGGGTTCGGCGCTACATTTGCTTCCCGTGGTATTGGCATGCACCTAGAAGGGACTGAACATGCCTATGTTGATCCTACTGCTTTGGTTGGGAGCATCTCCCCTATGCTCTGACAGCTCTTGTCCTCACTTTTGTCTTGATTCTGATTACTCATTTTTATGGACATAATATTTATGGACCAGTCACTGACCCCCCTCTCAATTCATCTGCCCCTCATCTGATTTTGCATCTTCTCTCTATATGATTACCCCACAACAATTCGCACAATGTGGAATTATGCACCACACAGACTGAAAGAAAGAGTTCTTGTTTGATTACCAGAACATCTCCTATCGTGAATTGAAAAATCGAGAGTAAGACTGAGCGCTGTCGGAACAGTCGCAGTCTATACGCGCGTTGTATTGGGGGAGCGCCACCAAAAATTAGCGCATGCGCATAGATCTGCTGCACGACTGCCGCCATGCATGCCACTGCACTGCCCCGGCCCCCACACCCACTTGGCCTGACCCGGAGCCGATGCTACGCGGTGTCTCTGTCAGTGCTGTTACAGCGTGCAACAAGCAACGATGCCGTTAAGGGCTGTGCTGCTCCACATCGGAGAGAAAGGTGATGCTTCTTATTCCGCAAAAAATCGCTCTGGCTTACCTGATTTGGCCCTACAGACCAAGCAAATACTAGAGTAATTCAGCAAATGAGGAGTATTGGATCTCCAACCTTGCTAGAAGATGGTAAGACCAACTACCGTGAAAGACTATATCAATAGTTGTATTGTTCATGTATTGTTGGCTCGGCCTTACAGAAGCTGATCATATACCCATCCCTGGGACTGATTTATTTGTGCGCATCTTGGATGCAGTGAGTGCAAGTTGTCCATCACTATAAATATAGCTCTTGCACTACCTCGCTACTGGCAACCATATAGCTCTTGCACTATTAACAATACTCTAGATACTGGCAATCAGCCAAAGCACCACCTGCAATAGTTTATACATTATTGCCGAGAGCCTGCATTATACATGTTCTCTGTCTTCGTATGTATGTATTATACAGACAATGAACATTGGTAAAGCTGGTAATCCAGTTATTTCAGCCAATGGCTATGGATCTGGTGCCATTCTGATGTATGACACTACCAGGTAAACACCTCTCAGTAACACAGGCACTCCAGTCTGCGGGAGTCCCAGAGACCAGCAGAGGTTGATGACCACTGGAGAGTCTCACGGGACGAGGTGGTCGTTCTGAATGAGGGGATGCTGGGGTCTGGGGCCTGGGGCTACGTGGCCAAGGGAGAGTTTCGAGGGAAGAGAGTGGCAGTCAAGTGCCTGCACAGGGAGATTGTGGTCAGCCAGACTCTGCAGCGAGTCCACAGAGAGATCCACACCATGGCCAGCATCAGACACCCCAACATCGTCCTCTTTGTTGCCGCAGTACTGGACAGTGAAGGCCACCACTCATCGTCTCTGAACTTCTCGACACCAACCTCCGATCAGCCTACCAAAACCACCAGCTGAATGGCACAGGAACAAAGGTGGAGATTCTGCACGGAGTTGCCTGTGCACTCAACTACCTGCACAAGCTACGCGAGCCCATCATCCATCGAGACGTAAGCTCGCCCAACGTCCTCCTCAGAGCTGCCCGAAATGACAAATGGACTCCGAAACTCTCAGATTTCGGATCTGCCAAATCTGGCCCGGTGTTCCCAGACACTTGGCGAGGGAGCAATCATCTACTCAGCCCCTGAGACCTTCCCTCCCAGCCTCCAATCTCCCAACAGCCTCACTCAGACCACAAAGATCGACGTGTACAGCTTTGGAGTCCTGACGGGGGAGCTTCTGACAGAGCAGCTACCTAATCCCACCACCCTACACTTCACAGTGGAGACTGTTAGAGCCGAGTTGCCTGATCTCCATACCCTCATGGTCAGCTGCATCAAACGCAGTCCTCACCTCAGACTTGATATGGAAACTGTCATCTCTACTTACCTGCAACCTCGGCTAACATCATCTGTCTTTATCTACCATGCATAGAACTGCTGTATACTGCCACATGCTAAACCAGACTTACATGCAATGCAACATGACCCACAACTGTCTGAGTATTTTTATCTGTTTATAAAGTTCCTTTTCACAAAAATGTTTTCTAGAAAACCCACTCTATGAACGATGTTGTCTTTTCCCCCAGGCTATACCACAACCCACAGCAAGGTAGTGCTTTGGTATTAGCAGGCACTCCTTGAGATGTGTGTGTTTGTCATGTCTTTGTCCTGTGTTGTATTGTGTTCTAGGAGCCCCTGTCTACTGAACTGCCCTATATAGTAGCCAGTGGGTTGTAGATCGCTTATAGACTACTGTAGGAGTTCAAATACCACCCAGAGCAGCTCGCTTTTCAAAAGAGTTGCCCAGGGTTTAGTTGTGTTGTTGCCTTTGCTTTATCATCGTGTATAGCATGTTAAGTACAAACTCTATGTAGTGTATATAGGAAGAGCATTTACTGTTGGGAAGCTGTCAAAGCCTATGCTCCATTTACTCCTGGGACCCAAGTAGGGAACTCCACCATCCTAACTGGCATACGTGGTAAGTGAATTTACATCTGGCCCTGATCATCGGTGTCTGTATGTTGTCTATATGAAGACCCCACAAACCCTTTAAATTTGCAATGTGTGCATGATAATCATGTAACACACACTAGCAGACTAATTCTTGTCGCCTGGAGACCCACGAACTATGAAAGAACAACTGAAATGGAGGGTAGGACTGAGCGCTGACCCCTGTGTCAAAAAAAAGCAGCAATAGGATTCTCAATTTGTGTACAGAAAATGCAAGCTCCGTCTTTACCCTCGATAAAAATTGGCACATGCGCAGATCTGATGCACGCTTGCCATGCGCCACTGCCCCCACACATTAAACACGCCCGCCTCTGGCCGATGCGGCAGTGCACTGGCGTCTGATAACGTACAATAGTTTATACATTATTGCCGAGAGCCTGCATTATACATGTTCTCTGTCTTCGTATGTATGTATTATACAGACAATGAACATTGGTAAAGCTGGGAATCCAGTTATTTCAGCCAAGTTGCATGGCTATGGATCTGGTGCCATTCTGATGTATGACACTACCAGGTAAACACCTCTCAGTAACACAGGCACTCCAGACCATGTCACCTCTGTGTTCTTATCTCAGGATAGAGTCGTTTGTGAAATGTCCTGGCTGGATTGATGCCTTCAAAAACTATGCCTCCAATGAAGCGGTTCTTCTTCTCTTGGCAGACAGGAGGTAACCAGCTATTATTAAACCATGCAATAAGAGAGCAAACCCGAATACCAGTCACCCACTTACCACCAAGCTACGAGGGTGTCCTGTGGCATAAGAGCATGAGATATCCGTTATTCAATCTATAAGTCTTATTTCCCCCGTGGGCTGCAACGTTAGACTGGGAGCAAAGTTCACTTTATTTGCCCTTGGCCACTGAAGATATGGTAATCCATATTCCTACTAAGAGAGAAAACAGTTTTGTACTGAGCTAGCACATCACCCCTGCCTCCATACACAAATCTTGCTCCGGAAGTGTGCATAGCTTAACAAAGTAATCCCATGTATTTAGCTACCTAGATCATGAAATAACTATGAACTGTTTGCTTTTCCCTACCTCCTGTGCAGTCATGAGAGCTCTACAAGAAGAGGGTAGTTTCAGGTGAAGAGGTAAGTAGATACTCTTTGAGTGTCTGATAACAATCAAGTCTGCTGGCTGCCTTAGGGGAAAACCTTTGCAGAGAACTTTAGGGTACTCTACCATGAAGTTGACTCTCGAAAACCTGAATCTGCTCAACATGTAAGTGCACCTGTTTTTTTACATAGGGTTCGGCTTTTTGAGATTATTGTGTGTGTGTGTGTGTATGTTCAGGCTCTCTATTATATTGCAACATGCATCTATGGCAAAGCCGAGGAAGGTGTACTTGGAACAGGACCAGTAAGCAAAGAGCATGTGCATGTATACAAACTATGTATAAACATGTTCCACTCTGCTGCAGGGGCAGGGTATAAAGCCAGTGGCCAGTCCTGGAAAAGACAAGAGCCGTGGAACATTTGGTGTGTCTACTATGTGTATATAGTATAGACTGAGCATGTGTTTATAGTGTAGGTGTGTACTGAAGTAATGCAGTAGAGTTTTGTGTAAATGGTGTGGCGCCACATGTCTGCCTCTCTATATACTATATATGTAGCTAAGTGTGGCATGGTCTTTGGTCCTTAGGTTACCAGTTACTGGTAGTTCCCACTGACTCAATGGTTGATTTTCCAGTGATGTATATAGTCTTTCTAAAGAAGTTCCCTTTGATTTAATTCATGCTTTTGTTGTTGTTAGAGTGGCAGTGAATTACACTTCACAGACAACTAAAACTGTAGTAGATATTGAGGGGAATACACTTAGAACAGATTATCATTGATGCCCATGTTACTATTTCCCTCTAGGAGAGAGTATTCCAGAAGTAGCATTTCTGGAGAAGGAGAGTCAGCTGTCTGCTGTCAGGAGAGAGGTGGAGAGAATGAAGGCCAAAGAGACAACACTACAACAACAAGAGCAGCTACTGCACAGAGAAAACTCTGAACTCACTCAACACCTGGCCTCTGCCAAGAGAGAGATAGAGACTCTCAACGGCGAGAAGACTGCCCTGCAAAGAGAGCAGCACTCACTCAAACAACAGCTGACGCAGAGAGAGAGCGAAGTGTGGAGGTTGAACGGCGAGATATCTAGCCTCCAGCAAAGCCTCCGTCAGTTAGGTACTCAGTTGGAGCAGGAAAAGTTGGGGTTGAGTCGGGTACTCGATAGCCAAACCCAAGAGAGTGCCGATGTCCAGTGGCGACTGCAACAGCAGCTCACCCTCAAGGAGGAGGCACTGGGGAACGAAGTTCGAGACCACTCTGAGACACGTGCTGCTCTCCGACATGCACAGCTGGCTCTGGACGAGGCGAGGGAGGAGAACCGTCGTCTGCGGGAGTCCCAGAGACCAGCAGATGTTGACGACCACTGGAGAGTGTCACGGGACGAGGTGGTCGTTCTGAATGAGGGGATGTTGGGGACAGGTGCCTGGGGCTACGTGGCCAAGGGAGAGTTTCGAGGGAAGAGAGTGGCAGTCAAGTGCCTACACATGGAGATTGTGGCCAGCCAGACTCTGCAGCGAGTCCACAGAGAGATCCACACCATGGCCAGCATCAGACACCCCAACATAGTCCTCTTTGTTGCCGCAGTACTGGACAGTGAAGGCCAACCACTCATTGTCTCTGAACTTCTCGACACCAACCTCAGATCAGCCTACCAGAGACACCAGCTGAAAGGCACAGGAACAAAGGTGGAGATTCTGCACGGAGTTGCCTGTGCACTCAACTACCTGCACAAGCTACGCGAGCCCATCATCCATCGAGACGTAAGTTCGCCCAACGTCCTCCTCAGAGCGGCCCGAAATGACAAATGGACTCCGAAACTCTCAGATTTCGGATCTGCAAATCTGGCCCGGTGTTCCCAGACACTTGGCGAGGGAGCAATCATCTACTCAGCCCCTGAGACCTTCCCTCCCAGCCTCCAATCTCCCAACAGCCTCACTCAGACCACAAAGATCGACGTGTACAGCTTTGGAGTCCTGACGGGGGAGCTTCTGACAGAGCAGCTACCTAATCTCTCCACCCTACACCTCACAGTGGAGACTGTTGGAGCAGTGGCCTGATCTTCATACTCTGATGGTCAGCTGCATCAAGCACAGTCCTCTCCTCAGACCTGATATGGAAACTGTCATCGCTGTACTTACCTACTGACATCATCTGTCTTTACCTACCATGCATAGAACTGCTGTACTACTGCCACATGCTAAACCAGACTTACATGCAATGCAACATGACCCACAACTGTCTGAGTATTCTTATCTGTTTATATAGTTCCTTTTCACAAAAATGTTTTCTAGAAAACCCACTCTATGAATGATGTTGTCTTTTCCCCAGGCTATACCACAACCCACCGCAAGGTAGTGCTTTGGTATTAGCAGGCACTCCTTGAGATGTGTGTGTTTGTCATGCCTTGTCCTGTGTTGTATTGTGTTCTAGGAGCCCCTGTCTACTGAACTGCCCTATATAGTAGCCAGTGGGTTGTAGATCGCTTATAGACTACTGTAGGAGTTCAAATACCATCCAGAGCAGCTCACTTTTCAAAAGAGTTGCCCAGGGTTTAGTTGTGTTGTTGGCCTTTGCTTTGCCTTACTACCTTCTTGTTGTTTAAATGCAGCATGGTGTGTGTATGGGACCACTTGCTCTGTTGAAATCTTTCAATATTGTGGCCATATCTCTTCAAGTTTAGTGCAATAACATACACTGTCCCCAGGGGTAGTGAACACCCTCGGCATGTGTTTTTTTGTGTTGCACTTAGGCACCACACACTACACCAACCGTGAAATGAGAATTGTAAGCCATTGGAGCCATGAATGTCAAACGCGCACCGACGATGCTCGCGACTATATACGCATGCGCAAAACGCGGAGGGTGTTGCAGCTGCGCTATCCGCTGAGACGTCCGTTCGAAAAGCACCCAGGGAGAATGCTTGCTTTAAAGGTTATGCTGCTTCATATCGGAGAGAAAGGTATGGAAAAGGCTCAAAATTCTTCTCGGCCTGTCTAAAATATAGCCGACTGTTTTTTTTACTGACCCCCGCCTCCCCCTAGATATGGCGAATGCTAATATCATTCGGCAGATGAGGAGCATCGGGTCCTCGACTTTACCGAGGGATGGTAAGTATTATAGTCTTTGGTAAGAGCCTCCTATGTGATATGTTGAAGCCAGTGGTCCCAGCTACTTACCTTCATTGACTTGCAGCAACTGATGATGACATACTCATTCCTGAGACTAATCTGCTGGTACACATATCAGACGCAGTAAGTACTAATATATATCCACTGCATAACCTGACTAGCTATAGCTAGAGTAACTGAATACAATACTTAGCAATGTCACTTGCTTATACCAATACAGACGATGAATGTTGGAGAAGCTGAGAAGCCGGTCATTTCAGCCAAGCCAGGCTGTGGAGCTGGTGCAATTCTGATATATGACACCACCAGGTAGACCGCCTCTGAGTATGACTGGCTATACAGCTGGGTCTCTTTCATCACAGGGAACACTCACTGGATAAATGCTGCGATTGGATTGATGCCTTTAGAAACTATGCCTGCAGTGAGGCGGTCATTCTTCTCTTGGCAGACAGGAGGTAGTCCGACACGTGTTTCAGCATTATGCATAACCAGGCTCTGCATGCACTCTGCAGTCAGAACACTCCCAGTTTTGTGTAGGTAGGGGTTCTTGCTGAAACTTTCCCTTTCCTCCATGCAGTCACGAGACCTTTAGCACAAAGAGAAAAGTTTCAAAAGAAGAGGTAAGTGTGGAGCTACAGCATCGCCATTCTGATGTCACTCCCTCTGACTTGCTCTGTTTTAGGGAGAAACCCTTGCGAAGATTTTTGGGGTGCTGCACAAGGAGGTCGACTCTCGAAACCCAGAGTCTGCCCAAGAAGTACGTATATATAGATGGGTGTTCACTTATGTGATAACACATGATCTTTCCTTGTGTTTAGGCTCTTGGTCGCATTACATTCTGCATCTATAAAAAGGTCCTGCGAGATGTTCTTGGAAATGGACCAGTAAGCAGATAGCTATGCACTGAGACTGTGCATACAACTGAGTTGCATGTCTGTGTGTGTAGAATCAGGGGGTGAGGCCAGTCATCCAAAGTCCTCCAAGCGGAAGACAAGCCAACAGCTGTGCCAACTCCACTGACCCACCAGCCAACTCTTTCCTTGGTGGGAATGGTAAAGAATTACCCTTGGGTGTGTGGGTTATTTAAAGATATATTAGAGGTGTAATGAAGCAATGCTAGACAGTGGGTAGGTGTAATAATATGTGCCTCTCCCAATGTCATGTTCACCATTGAGATACTTTGTTACACTACATGGAGTTACACTACATCAATTGTGTAGGTGCCCTTTTAGAGGGTGCCACTATAATTCAGGGACAAAAGATGACAATAGAAACAAGGAGTAAGCAATAGGGGAGAACATGATAGACCAATAGCTAGCAAATAGGGAAGCTAACTGGGGTTACAGAGATTATCCCATTTGCTCTAGGAGAGGAAGTAGCAGTGCTAGAGAGTCAGCTGTCTGCTGTCAGGAGAGAGGCGGAGAGATTGAAGGCCAAAGAGACAACACTACGACAGCAAGAGCAGCTACTGCACAGAGAGAACTCTGAACTCACTCAACACCTGGCCTCTGCCAAGAGAGAGATACAGACTCTCAACAGCGAGAAGACTGCCCTGCAAAGAGAGCAGCACTCACTCAAGCAACAGCTGACGCAGAGAGAAAACGAAGTGTGGAGGTTGAACGGTGAGATATCTAGCCTCCAGCAAAGCCTCCGTCAATTGGGCAGTCAGTGTTTCTCACTGGAGCAGGAAAAGTTGGGGTTGAGTCGGGCACTCGAGAGCCAAACCCAAGAGAGTGCCGATGTCCAGTGGCGACTGCAACAGCAGCTCACCCTCAAGGAGGAGGCACTGGGGAACGAAGTTCGAGACCACTCTGAGACACGTGCTGCTCTCCGACATGCACAGCTGGCTGTGGACGAGGCGAGGGAGGAGAACCGTCGTCTGCGGGAGTCCCAGAGACCAGCAGAGGTTGATGACCACTGGAGAGTGTCACGGGACGAGGTGGTCATTCTGAATGAGGGGATGCTGGGGACAGGTGCCTGGGGCTACGTGGCCAAGGGAGAGTTTCGAGGGAAGAGAGTGGCAGTCAAGTGCCTACACATGGAGATTGTGGCCAGCCAGACTCTGCAGCGAGTCCACAGAGAGATCCACACCATGGCCAGCATCAGACACCCCAATATCGTCCTATTTGTTGCCGCAGTACTGGACAGTGAAGGCCAACCACTCATTGTCTCTGAACTTCTCGACACCAACCTCCGATCAGCCTACCAAAACCACCAGCTGAATGGCACAGGAACAAAGGTGGAGATTCTGCACGGAGTTTCCTGTGCACTCAACTACCTGCACAAGCTACGCGAGCCCATCATCCATCGCGACGTAAGTTCGCCCAACGTCCTCCTCAGAGCTGCCCGAAATGACAAATGGACTCCGAAACTCTCAGATTTCGGATCTGCCAATCTGGCCCGGTGTTCCCAGACACTTGGCGAGGGAGCAATCATCTACTCAGCCCCTGAGACCTTCCCTCCCAGCCTCCAATCTCCCAAAAGCCTCCCTCAGACCACAAAGATCGACGTGTACAGCTTTGGAGTCCTGATGGGGGAGCTTCTGACAGAGCAGCTACCTAATCCCACCACCCTACACCTCACAGTGGAGACTGTTGGAGCCGAGTGGCCTGATCTGCACACTCTGATAGTCAGCTGCACCAAACCCGATCCTCTTCTTAGACCTGATATGGACACTGTTATCTCTACCTACCTGTCACCCCTTCTTATTTAGCCACTATACATACGGCTATTACTAGTACAGAAATGGCAAACATTTCCACCACTAATTGTGTGAGTATTACTTCCCTAGCATTATGTCACTCAGAACAGCAATTCCAGCTGTGGGTAATGCAGTTTTTTGTCGCGGTGTGGCTTAGTCAGTACACGAGAATAGTTGATTACTCTTAGAATGAGCGTGAATTTCAAACCCCACCACCCTACAGCTTTTTGTCACTCTCTGGGTCCCTGACTCCATGTTGTATCACCACCAGACCCAGTACCACTAGAGAGGCTCCAAACCACCACATCAGGGACACCGACTCGCCAAACAGAAATATCCCAAACAGTGCCTGTGGCCAGGGATAAGGGAGAGGGGATGCATAGAGCACACATCCAGCCAGTTTAGGGTGTGTGCCTGCTTTTTAGGGGGTGTGTAAGGGGAATACTACACTTACTCATGCAAAGCCACCAGTTGAAGCACAGCCTATGATTAGTGTAATGAGCTAACGCTGAAACAACCCCAATTGTTGATTGGTGCACTCCAATTCTTGAAACAAGGGGTTGACACATACTGTGAATATGAAGTTGCTGCCACTGTTTGCCACAGCTGCCTCCACGGTTGACCCACAGCCTTGTAGAGCCCTCACAAACAGCGCCCACATCACTGCATTGCTCAGGAAGAGGAGTATGAAACTACCAACTCTCAAAGCCAACACTACCTACAGTAATAGAAAGCAGGATGTGGTGGGCTTTGGCACACCTTGCCCCCCAAATTTGCTTACACTAGGACACACACTTTCAGCTACAAAGGGACATGTGATGTGCTTGAGTGTAGCTCCCTCCTCTTCAAAGGCTAACTTGGAGAAGACTGAGGCCATTGCAGCGCAGAATCCCGCTGCCACAGCTAGAGAAAATCCAACTCCTCTTGCCATGAATGTTGGTCAATGGTGGCGCATGCGCACAATAATTTAACCAAAGGGGTGTGGCCATAAGGTAGAGCACGTGACTCGCTGAGTTGGCAATAATTATATCGGGAAGCCGAGTCTCCCCAGTCAGGGCTAAGTTCCACAACGTACAATTTGTCGAGACACGACCATGTCCTACTCTTATCTGTTCAAGTACATCATCATCGGAGACACAGGTAAGCCAGTGGCCCTAGCCTCTCTCAGTCTCTTCAGTCGGGGGAACGGCTGAGGGCCCAGCCTCCGCCATATTTGGCAGTGACTATCAATACCCTATGACCTGGCAGGTGTGGGGAAGTCTTGTTTACTCCTCCAGTTCACAGACAAACGGTTCCAGCCAGTCCACGACCTCACCATAGGTCAGTGTTAGTACACCTCCCCTCTTCTCTAACCGTCTCTTCCCTACCTCCACGTACTGTATATATAGTGTGGATGGTTAGTGTGTGTTGGTATACAGTAGTTCATACATTATAATGAGAAGTTTGGAGAGAGCAGGAAGTGCACACAGGGCCACATACTTTTGACCATTCTGTGCTCACATGCACACGTGTGTATATACATGTTACTGTATTTCTCTCAAGGGGTGGAGTTTGGTGCTCGGATGATAAACATTGATGGAAAACAGATCAAACTTCAAATCTGGGACACTGTGAGTTATGTGCATGTGTACCTAATATGTGAGTACACTGACTAATGCAGAAAGTGAAAGTAATAGTGTCATTCTGGTACATTGTAACCCCAGGCAGGACAGGAATCATTTCGATCCATCACCAGATCATATTACAGAGGAGCTGCTGGGGCGCTGCTGGTCTATGACATTACCAGGTATTATTACCAGCATACACATCGTGTAATATCCATTGAGCTTGCTTGGCAGTGGTTGCTTTGTTCTAAGAACTTCGCTACTTACTTACGGTATTTGCCATATTGGAGTCAGCCAAATTTAATATGAACTGTGTCAGAGGCCCTAACTATGTTGCTAACTGTGTGTGTACATTGTTGGCAGTTGCTGTAGCATGTCCAGTTATTGCTACGTTTTCTCACAGTGGTGGCTCACTAACCTAGGCAGTTGTAGCCTTGTGTCAGTTTATAGCCTCATATGGTGTCCGTATAGTAATGATAACTAGCGTGCACTGTCATGATCTTGTGATGCATGGCTATGATTATAGACGAGAGACTTTTGAACACCTGACATCATGGCTGGAAGACGCGAGGCAGCACTCCAGTGCCAACATGGTCATCATGCTCATCGGAAACAAGAGGTTAGTTCCATATTCATACATACAATGCGAGGTTAGCGTTGTGGTTGAATATAGGAGTGTTTTGTAGGCTTCACATGCGTACAAACACAGGAATACTCAGCCAAAACATTTCAATAGTCCGTAGTGTTTATGGGCGTGGTTGTTTGTTTGGGCCAAGGGAGGGCAAAGACTTGTGGGATGATTGCACACAATTGGGTATACTATGAAGTTGATTTATTGCTCACATCCTTATCCCTTGTGTAGTGATTTGGAAGCCAAGAGGGAAGTCACGGCGGAAGAGGTATGCAGTATTCATGCACAAGATATTATACACTTTCGTGACATCACTTTCACTGTTTTTGAATGACACGTTTGTTTCTCTGATGTGTGAGTATATTTATTGTGTGATGCGATGGTTTTTTTATTTTTATAAGTGTGGTTTGTTCTGTAGGGGCTGTCGTTTGCAAAAGAGCATGCACTAGTCTTTATGGAGACATCAGCAAAGACTGCTGCCAATGTGGAAGAGGTATACTAAGGAGTCATTTCCCAAGCACAGATAGTCCACTCGTGACTTGAAAATTTCTCTGCAGGCATTTATCAACACAGCCAAGGAGATCTATCAGAAGATACAGGATGGGATATTTGATGTAACAAATGAAGTATGTCTCTGTAATAAAATTTTCCTCACCAGCAACTCTCCTTTTCTCCATCTTTCCACCTCCCTTCCACCTCCCTCCCTGACTCACTCTCTCCCTCTCCTCCCACCTCCCCATGACTGCTCTATCCTCCTAAGGCAAATGGGATCAAGCTGGGGCCACAGTACCAGACAGGAGGTCCGTCCCGGCCAGGAGCTATTGACAGTGGCAAGCCACCAGGACAAGGAGGCTGCTGTTGAACTATTATCGAATCTCTCATTATTGTGTTTCCAATTACACCACTGTATGTACTGCTCACTCGTAAAGCCATCTACATGTGTTGAATTTCACATTGTACTCCAAAATTACTTGTACACCACTCCTGTGTGGCTTGGCAATGCTAAATTATCCGTTTATTTCCGTAAAATAGGCCGTAGACTAGCGCTCACGTGACTTGATTCAAGATGGCCGCGAAGTTCCTCGTGATTTTGAAGGCTGCGTTCCCTGGTTGATTCTTCGCTGCCTTAGTGAAATCCTCCATTGTTGGTGAGTGCGTGTTTGAGTGGCGGCGACGATAGGGGAGAGACGGGGCGGGCGATGAAACGTGTCTCTTATCGTGTTTCGGCGCGAAATCCCGTGAAAAGTCGGATCCCGCGGGAGTGAAATGGCCCGGAGGGCGGGAAAGGGCTGGCCAGGCGTGTGTCTGGCGGCTGGTCGTCGAGAAACGGTGTGGACCCAAAACTGAACGTCGTAGGCTCTCCAAGCGTAGAATGTGACTCGATTTGAAGAATAGAACGGAGTGAAGAGGTTGGGGATAGGCAGGGTAGTGGTAGGCAACTGGCAAGAGCTGAATAGTGTTTTAGTGAGAGCATCTGGTGTGTAGAAAAGCCTGGAACAGCAGTAGAAGATGAAGACTTGAGGGTTGGTGAGTTGAGGTATATTAGGAAAGCGCAGATGACTTAGTGTTTTTCCTGTTTCACTTGCGGAACACTTGCTGTGGAGATTCCGGTCTTAGAAAATCTAGCCTAGAAATGCTTATCACAACAGAGTGTGAGGTGGATGTGACGTATACTTTGCCTCACCTGTGTAAAGGTGTGCACGCGCGTGCCTCACCTAAAAACTGTCACTAAACAGCTCCTTGTGAGATGTCCCTATAATATGTGCAACATGTACTGAAATTAACACATTGATGTAAGCATTCTGTGGGATGCTGTGAAGGACTGGGATACGGTATCTGCATTCACTCGAAGAGAACACTGCCAGAAGGGGTCTTCGGCTAATAAAACATTCGTCATTGTTTTCGCAAATATTATGTTGCGGAAATGTACATACATTATATTGCGTTGTGGTTGTGTTATAATGTTGCATAACTTACAGTTGCAGGTTGTTATACATAGCTGAGCAAAAACTAACTTTGCGTTCTCTTCTTTGCCACACCACACTGGCCTCAGTTGAGGCATGGAGAGCTCTAGTAATACTTTGGCAGGCCCTACCACTAATATTGAACCCAGAAACAGTACAGACAGATCGAATGACAGTGTCACGGATGAACTATCAGTTGCCGGTGCTGAGCTAGCCACAGAGGGGCAGATCCTGGCAAACACGCCAAACCCGGCGCGTGCTGCTCCAAACCCCGGCACGAACCCAAAGGGCAACGCAACTCCTCTTACTCATTCTAATCTTAATCTCCTGGCCACTCTTGCCGCCGCTGCTAGTCTTACAGGAAAGCCAAGGGAGTGTGGTAAAACTGAAAGACCTCTTGGACAATCTCTTGCCCCCACTTCCTCTATGGCCCAGAACGTCAGCCAAGTTGTTTCCTCTCTAGTCAGTCCTCCTTTGTTGGGGGTGTCTCCTACTAATAGTGGGTCGTTATTGGGTGGTGCAGAATTCCAAGGCAGCATCATGGACGAGATTGATCCACCCACAGTTTTGCCTGATCTTAACATGGCAATGGCCGAGGGCCTAGTTGTTGTCAGTAGAACAGAACAACAGATGGGCAAGGAGGGCAGCCTTGTACCTGCCACTATGGAACGTGGCATACCTGTAGCCAGTGCAATTCGATCCACTACTAGTGGTTCTCTTAGCCAGCAAGTGAAAGTGGAGGCTGCACAGACCTCTTGTGGAAACTTCAGTGCAACACAGGCTGAGTCTAGAACCCCGTCTTCTGCATCACTACAGCAACAGTCTGAAAATTCGGCAACTCCTCAAATGCAGCCAAATTCTGTTAATAGCATTCGGAAGAGTTCTACTCTCTCTTCCAGTAGCTCATTAGCCCCAAAAGTCAGTTCTCAGTCTGCTGCTATTGCCCAAGGTTTATCAGCATCTGTCACTGTACCTAAACTGGTTCCGGCGTCTCAGACTGTCCCGTCTAGTGGAGCAACTCCTTCACAGTTCCCCCCTCCGTCGTCCGTTACTCCCATCATTCACTCATCTTCCTCATCTGCTTCTACTTCAGTGCCAGCATCACAATCCACAACCTCCCATGCTGTCGGCACTACTGGCTCCAGCTCTACTTCAACGCTAGCCAAAGGTCTCAACCTCCCTCTCCTCCAGTTCCTGAACCTCAATTTCCCCTCGCTCAAGATCAAAGACCTGCAAGACGTCCTCAGTATCAACTCCCTCTTGACACAGGTCCTGAAGCAACAGCTCAACAATCCAAACTCCACCTCCGTCACACTGCAGAAAGTGACTGAAGCTTCCAAAGTCGGGCAATCGACGCTCAAAACAGTCCTTCCTGGTTCAAAGTCGTCTATTACTGTCCAGTCAAACCTCGGTGGTTCTAAATTGGCCCGGTCTCAGTTACAAGTACCATCAAAACTTGGTGTGGCATCTTCTACTGTTAGTGGAGCATCTCCTCGCCTGGGCCTCTCCCAACAGGTCTCTGTCACCACTGTGGCCAGCTCACCTAGAACATCATCCCCTGCTGTGCAACTAAAGGCCCATCAGCTGGCAGCTGATGGAAAAGCGGTCGACCCAAAGACCCAGTTGGTATCAACAGGCGTGGGAATCAATATGGACCTTCTCTCCAAGCAGAGCTCCTCTCTGCTATCAACCCTGGCTTCTCCTTCCACCTCGACCGCGACCAGTGCCGGGAACAGGAAGGCCGTCTTGGTACAGATCCTCAACAAGGCAGGCTCCTCATCCCCAACCACGGTGACGACTACACCTCCCAGCAAAGACCCCATCCTCATCCCGCGGATGATGAAGCCACTCTCCAAGGGCCCGCTCATTCTCAACAGACACAGTCGCTCCCAGCTGCAGGGTATCTCTGTAAGCCCATCAGCCTACACTACCACGGCCTCCTCAAGCTCTAGATCCAACACTCAACCTTCCACTCCAGTCTCGTCCCTCTGCGTCTCTCTCTCCCTCCCTGCCCTGAAGGGCTCTCTCCAGCCAAAGGACCCGGCGGAAAAGAAACGCAGGACGCCCTCCCGCAAATCGGCTCACCAAGTCACCACTACGTCTGAGCAGCAGCAGATGAACCGGACCGTTGTCCAGCCAGCCGAGAGTGAAGCAATGGAGGTGGACGTCGGGCAGCCCGTTCAGAAAATGAAGCTCCCGAAACACCTCAGAGACCACTCTTACTCCCTCTACAACCCAGAGGAGGCTGAGAAACAGCGAGTGCTGAATGCCACCAACTTTTCCTTTATCAGCACTATTCCTCCAGCGAGACTGTCGTATGCCCCGCAGGTCCCCGACTCCCCCTCCACACTCCACAAACTGCTCAAGGTCCTCCCCAAGAAGAACTCTCGCCACTCTCCCCCTCGCTCCGGGAAGGGCTTCGGGCGCAGGGGTCGCATAGGTCGGAAGGGGCGTGACCATGGAAAGAGCCGAGGGAAAGGCGGCACGAAGAAGGTGGGGTCGACTCCGACCTTGACGACTGTGAGTGACCCCTCATCATCAGAATCGGACTCCGACGAAATGTCTGGAAAGGTGAAAGTAGCTTACATGTACTGTAGTCCCACTCCATGAGTTTGTATTGTTTTAGAGAACTAAGTCTCTTTTAGGGATTTCCATGTTATAGCCTGGCTATGTTTGTGTCATCTTGTACATGTCGTCGTCTCTGAAAACTTACATATGCAAGAAGATAGAACTTACAAGGCTTGGGAAGTAAAGGAGACATTGCAGGGTACTGTGCTATCTGTGTACGTATGTGTTGCTTTGGGTATAGAATCGGAGACGCTCTCAGAGGAACGCTGGACAGAGGAAACGCTACATCGATGACCTCAACATTCCCATCAGTGACGATGAGCTGTTGGAAGATGTCATGAGTGCTCGTCCTCCGAGAAAAAGGACTACAAGGTACACTTACATACATCTTGCCATGCTGTATGTACATTTGTTTATGGGTACACTCAGGACTACTGTAAAGAGATAGATCGAATTACTATACTAGAGATCTTTGATTGTTCGAATTACTATACTTGATTGTTTAGTACATTACGTGTATGCCAGTTGTATACACCAGTGTTGAGGGAGTGTAATTGGTATGTAGGGCTATGGTAACCAGGAGGAGGATGATCTGGATGGGTGGGGAGCTGGGGGAGCAGGGGATGGGAATACCAAGGATAAATTGGCAGCCAAACACAAGAGCAGGACCATCTCCATCAACCCCACTGAAGGATTCCAGTACTCTGATGTCTACTTTGTGAGTTGCTCCATTGGCATCTGTACTATGTATGTACAGTACATACTTATTACCTGTATATACCTCTCTGTTGTATGGCATTGTGTTTGTGTAGTGAACTATACATACTGTATGTGAGTGTATACTACTTGCATTGTCCAAAAAAAGTCCCACTCAGGATTGTGCACCTTCAACGAGCGTGTTATAGTAAGAATAAAGACTATACTACAGAGGGTTCCTACTCCTGTATACTATATACACCCTGGCACACTTACAGTGTCTTGTCTAATGATTACAGGAGCCACCTGCGGAGGAGGCTAATCTGGTGGAGAGGATCCTGGCCCACAGAGTGAGGGACCCAGTGACTGAGGAGGAGAGGACCAACCACAGTCAGGGAGTTGAGGAGTTCTTCATCAAATACAAAAACTAGTGAGGAACCTTTATTAAGCCTTGGTGTGAATGCACAGTGAGGGTTACACTACTTGGGGCTGTCTGTGAGTGTGTCTCTCTGTCTATTGGTCTACACAGCTAGACACCCTAGTGAGCGATACCAGCTCCTTCAGAACAAAAAGGATGTGAAAGGAGGTTTTCCTGACACTAATGCATTAAGAGATTTGGCGTGAATCAGCAATCGCTTGCTTGACGAGTTTTTGCCTGTTTCACAGCACCTTGGGAGGCACAAAGTTGCTTGGAGGACAATTAGCGTTGTTCCAAATACTAGTCACTGGCCCTTTTTAGATCAAGGAGCAGGACATCGCCACAATGCGTAGACCAGCTCATCAATTTTACAACACTACCACTGTGCTGAGTGGTTTGCACTTCAGTTAGAAACACACCCACAATCTTACGTTATATCTGTAGCAGGTATAATACCAACCCTGGGTATCATTATCAGCCATTATTTGAACCTCCCCATTGCAAGTATTGGGTGTGGTCGGAAGGATAAGGAATCACCTTCGTGATCGTGAGGTCCAAGGATCGATCCCTGACTGTGTGTGTCATTTTTTTTAATGAATGATGTAATGTGAGTGTTGATATAAGAGGAACGTTTTTACATCAGCTCTCGTGGCCAGCCCGAGTGGCTAAGTGGTTAGAGACGTGGGGACTGTCACATAAGGTGCCCGGTTCGAATCCCGGACCCACACTGAAACTGACAGGTGGTTCAGAGCATTGGCTGGGAACAGCTCTGGTTCCTCCCCTTACCCACGAATCTACCATTGACCCACATACATCTCAAAGGACAGCGTACAGTTTGGCATTGCACTGCGTCCATAGACGACTGTCTGGAGAGATGTAGGGTGGCTTTTTTTTCAACCCTTAGGATTGATTATTTTGTGTAAAACAGTCCCTGGATAAGTAAGAATGGTACATAACATTCAGTTTTATTTTTTATTTTTTCATGCTTATGTTGGTAGTGAAAGAGACTCTCAACTATTATTATAGTAACTTTTTTGACAAGAGCATTAAAAAAGGAAATTTTCCCACACAATGTCCTCGTTCAAGAGATATATACAATGTAGTGATAACCAGCTAATCAGCAATGGCTTACCCGTCGAGGGTTTTTGCCTGGTCCACGGCATTCTGGGAAGCACAAAGTCACTCATAGGACGATATCCAGTCCAGCGTTAAGCTAAAAGTACGAAAATGTTTGGCCACCCCATTATGTACAGCCATCTATGATGATTTACTGTGTTGAACAGCACTCTCCATCTATAGTCAGTAATAATAGTTGATTGGCCTGCCTTAGCTTCTTTCTTATGTAAAAAGTACGAAAACGTTTAGACCATACCCCATTTTCCACAGTCACTCAATCGACACTCTACAGCTCTGTACGTGGGTAGTGGAGTAGAGGAGGCAGGATAGGGTTTCACTGCAATCCTCCAGCTATAGTGAAAGTATTTGGGCTGGTTGGTTGGTCGGTCTCTGCCTTCATGGCTTTTGTAAAAGTACGAAAAATTTAGGTCACTCATTTTCACTGTCACTATGATCGCCAACAAAGTTTTGTGTCAGAATTTTTCTGGGTTTTTTTTTTTACCAGATAAAGGATTATAAGTTTTCCATGGGAGTCATTGTTCTGTCGTCTTACTTTTCTGCAGCTCCTACCTGCATGCCGAGTGGGCCACATTTGAGAAGCTGCTACAGGGAGATCGGAGGTTTGACGGGAAGGTCAAGAGATACAAGGCAAAGCAGGCATCACTTGGCATATTTTCAAATGTGGACGAGGAACCGTTTAACCCCGAGTACACTGAGGTTGACCGAGCACTGGATGTAGCCACACAGACAGAGCCAAATGGAGAGGTACCTATAGATGCATTCGTGTATATACCTGCAATTTTAACTTTGTTTTGCTGTAGGTTGTTACTCACTACTTGGTAAAGTGGAAATCTCTCCCATACGAAGATGCCACCTGGGAACTCGAGGTAATGCATTAATTGTGCCTCAAGTATGTTAGTGGCTATGATAGTGTCAATGAGTGTACATATTCTGCTTCTGTAGGAGGACATTGACGCAGAGTCTATTGCCACATTCAACAGGAGACAGATGGTACCCTCTGCAAAAGAACTATCAGTGAGTATAAACCCTTGCCATAGTGCTTTTACTAGTGTCTACACGTGGGGAGCATGCAGTCATGCCATGCATTTACCACAAGTCTCTTTCCCTCACTCCAGTTTGTCCCAAGGCCTCCCCCAGCCTCGTTTAAACCAATCAAGGAGACTCTAGAGTACAAAGATGGGAACCTCCTGCGGTCCTACCAGAGAGAGGGCCTCAACTGGCTCCTCTTCAACTGGTACGCCAGGCAGAACTGTATCCTGGCCGACGAGATGGGGCTGGGCAAGACTGTGCAGTCCATCGCCTTTCTCATTGAGATCTTTGTGAGTGGAGTTGATTGTGGCTGTGTCACTGTGTTCATTTCGTCTCTTCCAATACGCTTACCATCGTCCTTACTTTTCTCCCCCTAATTCTTCACACTCCTTCCATCTCTCGCTGTCAATCCCTTCTTCCCCTCTCTCTATCTCTTTATTTTTCTCCCACTCACTCCCTCCCTCTGTTTGAATAGAATGCAAGGATCAGAGGTCCGTTTCTGGTGATAGTTCCTCTCTCTACCATTGGCAACTGGCAGAGAGAGTTTGCCACCTGGAGTGACTTCAATGTCATCATCTACCACGGAAGGTATTACTAGGAATGCGCACGCGCATATTTTGCCTTGCGCCTGCCAGCCAATGCAGTCCCGCTCGTGCGCGCGCTCTACTGACTGCGCGCGAAGCCAGTCTGCGCACACGGCGGAAGCTAGACTTCCTACGAATGACGGAAGTTACACTTCCTTTTGGTGACTAATTTACATTCCTAAGCGTGACTAATTGACGACGTACGTACGTACGCATATCGCGAGAATACAACCCGGAGTAGTTGCCTCACGCTAACGCGCTCGGCAATTATACCTCACTACACTCATGAGCTGCACACATAATTATCGTGAAATATTCAAAGTATTTAGGGCTGTTGGTAAGATGATTGAAAACCCCAACACACGTAAAGGCTAGGAGGAAAGAGAAAACACTAAACTCTCTTTATACATCATTTTAACCTCCTTGTACTTATACGTACTATATATATATGTATCTACATAATATGTATGTGTGTGTTTTTTGTTTGTGTGCTGCAGTGCATACAGTCGCCGTCTCATCCACGAGTATGATCTCTACTATCGAGACCGTCAGGGAAAGATCATTTCCGATGCCTTCAAGTTCAACGTCATCGTCACTACATATGAAGTCCTGCTCTGTGAGTCCACTTCATACATACACACTCCTTTACAAAATATACTGATAGTACGTGGTTTTCGTTACAGTAGAGGGGATCAATCCTTTTTCATGGTGTTTATAAGTCAATGCATACTACATTTCAGGACAGATTGCCCGAGTTTGACTCCTGACAGAAGTTTGCTCTCTCTGTCCTCGTAGCCTCCTGAGTGTTGTGTGCAATACAGTGGTTTTTTATCATCTTGCCAATGGCCCTACAACATTGAGTGTTTGATGATTATGTGTGCAGCTGATGACAGTGAGCTACAGAACATAGACTGGAGGGTGGTGATCATTGACGAGGCCCACCGCCTCAAGAACAGAAACTGCAAGCTGCTGGAGGGGCTCAAGAGACTCGGCATGGAGCACCGGGTCCTCCTCACGGGCACCCCGCTCCAGAACAGCGTGGAGGAGCTGTTCAGTCTCCTCAACTTCCTGGAGCCCCACACCTTCCCCTCCCACGTATCCTTCCTCCAGCAGTTTGGAGATCTCAAGACGGAGGAGCAGGTCGAGGAGCTCAAGACGGTGAGCATTAGGCGTGTGTATACCTATTATACATCACTCAGCCTTCTCTTGAGAGAGAGAGAGAGAGAGTCTGTGGGTCAAGGCTTTGTCTGACTATATAGCTATTACATACTGAGTGAGAGTTTACTGTGCCATAGCACAGTGGTTTGAGGTTTGCCTTGTGTTGTGTTGTAGATTCGAACCCCTACCAGCTGAGTTGCCCTGGTAGCTCAGTTGGTAGAGCACTGCAAAATACCCATGGCAGCTCTTCTCCTTTTCTAGAGCCGTCCTGGGCGTAGTTGCCTTTCTACCTCGTTATATACCAAGTTGTTGAGACATGCATGTACTGTATGTGGTATGTGTGGTGGTTTGTGACAACTTGGATTGTGTATCAGATACTGAAACCGATGATGTTGCGGAGGTTGAAGGAGGACGTGGAGAAGAGTATTGCACCCAAAGAAGAAACCATCATTGAGGTACATACACATTAGTAACAGTACATTCCAAGCGTGCAAAGGAGTATCTGAACCTGTCTTTTGACTGTCTTCATATATGTTGGCTCTAGTGAGTTCTGAAATGTGATTCGTCAATCAGAGGTAACTATTTCACTTAGTATTGTCAGTGGAATACTAAGTGAAATAGTATTCCTCTGATTGACCAATCAGATTTCAGAACTCACTAGAGCCTGGGTATACATACTATTACTGCACAACATTCTTCCCCCACTGTGTACTGGAAAAGGTGGAGTTGACGGCCATCCAGAAGCAGTACTACAGAGCCATTCTGGAGAGGAACTTTATGTTTCTGTCCAGAGGCAGTTCTGCCCCGACCACCGCCATCCCCTCCCTCCTCAACGTCATGATGGAACTCCGCAAGTGCTGCAACCACCCCTTCCTAATCAAAGGTTCGTTAACAATCTGTAATCCCTTGAGTATTAAAACTCTGATCCCTCTGCTTAAAGTATCATAATAAATGTTCTGGCACCAAGAGTAATGTTACTGCTTGCTACAAACTATTGCTGTTGTTGCACACTGTCATTGATCATTGTTTATTATTTGGCGTGCTTATTATTGGTATTCAGTAAAGTGGTGATTATTCCAGGGGCAGAGCAGAAGATAGTGGCAGACTGGCAGACAGAGAAACCGACAGAGCCGGTGTATCGCTCTCTCATACAGGCCTCGGGGAAACTGGTGCTCATCGACAAACTCCTCCCCAAGTTGAAGGAGAGCGGACACAAGGTTGGGACGGTGACCCTTCCTTTGAGATTTCATGTACACTTTAGAGAAGCGCCGTCACATGTACTGTGTGTGCAAGTGTCCTCGGGTTTCTAAATTGCGTACATTTCACAGACTCCACTGTCTAGCTCAACTTTTCTTTGCAGGTCCTGATATTCTCACAGATGGTTCGCTGTCTGGATATTTTGGAGGATTACCTACGAATAAAAGGGTGTGTTTCATTGTCACTTAATAACGTGCACTTTTATTGTGAAATGGGGAAATGTGTGTGTCTGTAGATATTTGTATGAGAGGATAGACGGTCAGGTTCGAGGTACTCTCAGGCAGGAGGCCATTGACCGATTCTCCAAACCAGGTTGGATTCAGTCACCCCAAACCCCCTCACTCCCACCCTCCTCTTCCTCTCTCTCTCTCTCTCCTGAACCTAGACACAGACAGATTTGTGTTCCTCCTGTGCACCAGAGCTGGGGGACTGGGTATCAATCTGACTGCTGCCGACACCGTCATCATCTATGACTCTGACTGGAACCCACAGAATGACATTCAGGTCTGTCTGAGTTACCATTGCTACTCGAGTCTGACTAGTTCATACTCCATCGGTATAATAGCAAAATGAGCATGGTCTTAATTTAGGGTGCTTATTCACTCCATACTTGTACAACGAGACCACTGGGCACTGAGTTTAATGTGTGTGTGTGTTGTCTCTCACCCCAGGCACAGGCTAGGTGTCACAGAGTAATGTGTGTGTGTGTTGTCTCTCACCCCAGGCACAGGCTAGGTGTCACAGAGTAATGTGTGTGTGTGTGTGTTGTCTCACCCCAGGCACAGGCTAGGTGTCACAGAGTAATGTGTGTGTGTGTGTGTTGTCTCACCCCAGGCACAGGCTAGGTGTCACAGAGTAATGTGTGTGTGTGTGTGTGTTGTCTCACCCCAGGCACAGGCTAGGTGTCACAGGATCGGTCAGAACAAACCAGTGAAGGTCTATCGACTCATCACGAGAAACTCTTACGAGAGGGAAATGTTTGATAGGTCAGTAGCCTCTGTTCCCCACCTATATACGTACACCTAGTTTTACGTAACTGTCCTCGCATTATAGCTAAGGCTGTAATGGTTCAGTGTGCATATTATGTAGTGTGTAAAAAACGAGATATCAACGCAAAGGGAAAGCAAACAACACAACAACACCATGGACAACTCTTTTTTTTCAAGGAAAAAGGAGCTGTCCTGGGTGGGATTTGAATCTCTGTTACCTGTACAGGGCTAGTTTGAAGCTGGGACTGGACAAAGCTGTCCTTCACTCTGTCACCACGTCGCAACAACAAGCTGCAGGGGTAGGTCCCTGGTGATTTGGGTAGTTGATTGCAGTGAGTGTGTTGATCTATCTTCACTCCTTGTGCAGCCGCCTCAGCTGAGTAAGAGGGAGATTGAAGATCTGCTAAAGAAAGGTGCATATGGAGCTCTCATGGAAGGAAATGACGATGATGCCAACAGGTATTGCGCAGTAGAATGACATCACATGGTCTAATACCTTCATGTATATAACAAGAAATTGATCAGAGGAGGGGCAAATATGACAAAGAGGAAAGGGGGAAAAAACCGTTTGTGTGCATTAAAAGTTTGCTTCAATTCAAAGGGGCGGGTGTATCAAGGGGGGAAGGCCCTCCCTGCCCTTTTAACGAACCTCTGCAGAAGATATAAAACAGAATGGCGCTTTAGGTGGCCTGATTTTTTGCGACCTCATGGAAGGAATAACAGAGCAGCTAAAGATTGTGACTGGAACAGAAGAGTGTAATGCTGTGCTGGGTGAAGCATATACAGGTCCCAATAACAGGACATTATAATAATATAAGTGTCCCCTCCGAAGCATATTAGAGACTATGTTCCACTGGTGCCAGGAGTGTGAATTGTGTGGCCACTTGTTGACAGGTTCTGTGAGGAGGACATAGACCAGATCCTGGAGCAGAGGGCCCACGTGGTCCAGCTGGAGAGCGAGGGGAAGGGCTCCACCTTCTCCAAGGCCAGCTTCGTAACCGACGAGTCGTCTGACATCAACGTGGACGACCCTGACTTCTGGCAGAAGTGGGCTGAGAAGGCCCAACTCAACCTCGATGATCTGGCCAATAAGGTACGTACCATATACCAGGAGCATGTATGAAGTGTACACATTATTTGCTTATCAGACATCAGCTAACACATTTCCTGAATCACAGCTTCCTCCTAGTATGTACAAAGTGCTTAATGCACATGTAATCGATTAGACCTGCTTTATCTAAAATGTGTATAGGGTGCATGGCGTGAATTTCTCTATCTCATGGTTTTGTTGGTCTTTATAGTTTTGCTGAATGTACATGTGTATGTAACATACATTGCCCACTCTTGGCCTGTGCACACTGCCACACAGGACAACCTAGTGTTGGACACTCCTCGCCAGCGGCGGCAGGTTCGTCGCTATGGGAACGACCACCTAGAGGGAGAGATAGTGGACATGATAGACCCGAGAGAGGACGTGATTCCGTCGCGAGGACGACACGGCTGGACCAAGATTGAGCTCTTCAAGACTGAGAAGTGGACGCTTATTTTTGGGTGGGTCTGCGACCACTAAGAGTTTATGGTGCTCTTGTCCCAAACATTTGATTATTGCAATTTTTTTTTGCATTTTTACTGTGTACAGCTGGGGGCAGTGGAAGGACGTTTTGGAGGCTTGTGACTTTAGGAAGAGGCAACTCGGTGTGGGAGACGTGGAGAACATTTCTAGGACTATTGTGAGCCTCTTGTTTATCCTCCCTCTCAGCTTTTCTGTCCATATAGCACATTTCACTCTGCCTCTCTACCTCGTCCTTCTTACCTTCTCCTCCCTCTCTTCCAACCTCCTTTCCTCCCTCCTCCTCCTGCACCACGTGCACACAATCTGTTTATTCTTCCCACATGCTTTACCTTTTCTTGCTTAATTCCCCTCTCTCCTCTCCCCCAGCTCATATACTGTCTGGCTCACTTCAAGGGGGACGAGAAGATACCTCCCTACATCCACCGTCTCATAGACCCCAGTGAGGTCACAGAGGTGGGGGAGGACGCCGAGGGCTCGCAGTTCACAGAGGACGACTACCTGGCCCTCCTCAGCAAGAACCCCGAAACCCTCTTCCAGGAGGAGGCGTACATGAAACACCTCCGCAGACATGCACACAAGTCAGTGGCCTCTCCACGGTTTCTTCTGTGTAATATGCTGTGGACTATAGTGCCACACAGAGAATAGTCATATATACCTTTTACACAATAATACCACTCTGATTTTATACAACATTATACAGGCAGGCTTCGATTTCTTGTGTGATACAGTATCTGTTTGAATGTACTGCACTTGAGTGTTGTGAACCAGCTTGGATATATTATCTAGGGCTTCTGACATGTACTTTAGTCAGAGTCAAATGACTGTGGTTTTGGTCACTCTGGGTCTCCTTGCAGGATAATCTTCCGTATCCGCCAGCTGCACATCATCCGCTGGCAGATGCTGGTGGGTCATAAGAAGCAGATAATGAAGGGGACCCCCGCCAGGTACCTCGGTCTCCACCTGCCACGGCCGGAGGAGGGCCCACCGGCTCCGTGGTGGACTAATGAGTGTGATCACTCTCTCATTGTCGGCATCTTCAAACACGGTTAGCAAAACACCTCAAATTTCATGCACTATCTGTATTATGTTGAGTTGTCATTTGCATTTACTCTGGGCTTTTCCTGTTTTGGGTTCAACGCCAGTCACATAGAAGAACGCCTTCTTCTTGGCACCATTATATCTATTGTACGATGAGCTCTAAATCTGTTGTTCAGCATAATGGTACATTTGGGTGATAGTGCTTAATTCCTCGTACATGTATAATCTTACTTCCGGATGTGCAAGCTCACGGCCTCATCCGGAAATTTGTTAAATACTGACAGTGCCATGAACAGCAAATCCTTACACTGATTTACACTCTGAATTAGCTGGGAACACATTACATCGTATAACTCGGGCTCACCTGCTTGATGGCTGTGTGTGTGTGTCTTGTGTGCTGTCTGTCTGCAGGTTACGAGCAGTTCCACCTGTTCCGCTCGGACCCGGCTCTGTGTTTCAAGGCCCTGGTGGGGGAGGAGTCTCAGACAAGTCTGAGGAGGAAGAAGAACCGCTGTCTCCCTCTCTCCAAGGGCAGGAAGGAAGACGAGGAGGACGAGGAGGAATTCCTGGACCTGAGCGGGGAGGACAGCGACGGAGAGAGTGGTCCCTCCACCCCTGTTGGCCTCTCTGTACGACTCCCCAACAGAAAGTATGTGTTTACATTCCCTGAGGGGTGTTTATAATGTGATGGAAACTAGTGCAAAATATTTGGCTCCTTGTTAATATTTCAGAAAAGTTTGGTTGGTCAGTCTTTCCCTGTAGGTGATCCATTTTTTTATGCGATGTTTATCACTTCAGGGTTGTTTCACATATGAATCTTATATACTTGTATACTTGTAACAGTAGGCAAATCATATGATAGTCTACTCTGTATAGCTACAGCCAATCTTTGAGGTTTGACCCTCAATTTTCACAAAATTTATATACAATTGCTGCATAAACCGATTCATTGTGTTTGGTTATTTAGGACAAAGAATATTGCAACAAACACACAGAGTCCCACTCCTCCGAGGACAGGTAAATACTGTAATATCATCACTTCCGACATTACATAATGTAGGTATAACCTAGAGTTGCACATTGCGGGCTCACATTATGTGCCTGCACACGGAAAACACAATTAATGCACAGTTATATACGTATACCTCACATTAGGCGCAATATAATTATGAACACACTCACTTTATAAATCTATGCATACACATGGACATCAACTTTTGTTATCTTTTTCAGGCATGTATCTATGGCCGACGCTGGCAGATGTGAATACGCGAGCTCGCAGGCTAGTGAATGCATGGATCAAAAACCAGAAGAGAGAGGAACAGAAACAAGTCCACCTCCTGAAGGTCAGTAGTGAGATTAATTTACAACCAACAAGAAACCACCACTGAGCGTTTTTACATGGCACTGATTTAGCAAGGTGTCTTTAAGATGAAGTAACAAGGTGTCTTTAAGATGAAGTAGCAAGGTGTCTTTAAGATGAAGCGGTTTGTTTTTCTGAGGACACTGTGTCAAGTGTATATGCGACTATAGTTACAAAGAGTACTCGGTGTATCTGCCTCTCCTGGCCCTGGGTCCACCGTCTTCCTCTTCCTCCTCCTCCTCAGAGGAACAGGAGGTGGAAGAGGAGCGCTGTGACTGCTCATACGTCTGATCCTCCAGTGCGTGATGTGTCGGGTAGTCCTCCACGACCACCGAATGAGTCATTCCTTGAACTGTGGCCTTGAGGTTCTGTCTCCGGAGCCGGCGCACCGTCTGCGTGTCTAGTGCAAATGCCACGGCGGCGAATCCTCCCTGGAGAGGCTGGGTTATGGCCGACGCGAACCAGAGGGAGTAGACGGTTCTTGTGAAGAGAACCAGGGAGAGGTGGGCGGCCAGAGGGACCAGGTAGAGCAGGAAGTAGACTAGAGGGTACCAGATGAGCTTCCGTACGTCTTTCGTCTTTAGCTTGTTCCTGAGGGTTGTCGGGTTACTGTTTCCGTCCCACCGTTTCCTCTGTTTGGAGGTGATCCACATGACTCGGCAGTAGAGGGCCAGGAGGTGGACCAGTGCCACGGCCAGTGGGACGTACCACAGGAGGAACTGAAGACCAATTCCTAATGGAAACGGCCTACAGCCGTCGCCAGTCTTGGCTCTGATCCAACAGTAGAAACCAATCTGTCCGTAGGCTCTCGTGACAAACGGTATCCACATGAGCGTGAACGGGAGGATGAATATCAGGACGACGTAAACCAACTCCAGCCACTTTTGCGATTTTGTGAGTACCATGTTCAGGAGGAGGTTGGTTGAGAGGCAAGCGACAGCCATTGCCTCAAACCATCCGGCCACAGTCTGGAAGTATCCTGCTACAGTGCAGAACTGTGCAGGTGGGCCGCTGACTGGCAACTGGTTGAAATGGACCAGGACCTGCCCCCAGGAGAGGGACTTGATGATTGCGGCAACCGCGAGGTAGAGAATGAGCCGCTGCGAGAGGACGTGGCACTTCTTTAGCCCGCACACCAGGGCAAGGACCATTAGGGAGGCCACCAGGGAGATGGCAGAGCACACGATTGCCACGGTGGCCAGCTCTTTCTCGTGGCCAAACTGTGAGCAATCTCTCTCTGTTTGATTGGTAGTGTTGGTGACACGCTCTGAGTACAAGTCTCCTGACCCAGACATCCTCCTTCTTCTCTTTACTGACTTGGCACAGAATTCCTTTCAAGATGATGGCTATAATATCAATCAGTAAGCTTCTCCTTCAATTATCAGTTAATGCTTTTGAGATCCTGAGCTGAAAAGAAAGCTTTGAGGATTGAATCTTCCATCAGACCACCCTGAACCTGGCGAAAAATCTTGTCATAGTGGTTGTTTGCTTCGGGTTTTGTCTTAGGAATCTGGGACTTTGTTTGGATACCACACAGTGTGTCTATAGTATCAGCACACACTCCGTACTGCCTGTTAATGACGGATAAACACACTTAGGTCTTGTGTGAACTGTCGTATGCTATAATATAGTCATGCAGCAAATGTCATGGTTTCAGTTTCTGCCACTGTTTGTCACTCCGCCTTACATGTGGCCTTTTGCTTGTGTAAACACAATGTTCCCAAGTTTATAATAGTTCTGTTTGTCACATGTGTGTTGTCATCAGTGTAGCCAATGCACAGTCATGTGCTACTGTACAAATTAGCAATGTTCAGCCACGCATACAAGCAACAGCACCAGGAGTTCTGATAATAATCTCTGAATTACAGCTATACTAACATGTCATACTATGTTGTCACACTGTGGTGCTGAGTATGTCCTAGCTTGTGTCCTCTGATATCACATGTGTAACTGTGTTTTTGTATGGCATCTGTGCTAATTGTGACCTGTGGTGAGCTCAAAGGGTTGTGGTTATTACTATGTACTTCCTCAAAGGTGTGTGGTGGTGGAAGTTATTTGTAGTACTCACATTGCTGTGTGGGAGATAACAGATGGTATTCCACTTTTAGGGGTGTAGTCATGCTGTGATTGAAGAATGCTGCATGTGCTCTATTTAGAATAGTATGGCAGCTTGTGGAGAGCTCAGTGTGTGCAGATGAGTAGAAACTGTGAGGTATAGGACTGACATATCACGCTATGGCTAGTGCTAGTAGTCTGCATTAGAGTTGAATACCTGTTGTTTGTCGGCGTTGTTTCTGTCATAGCCATGAACAACACTACTGACTTTACGACAGAGCAGGATGAAACCAACTGTTCTCCATTTGCCAGCGACCGCTATGTGGGTGTGGCCATCCTGAGTGCCTGCACTGGAGCTGTCTCTGCTGCTGCCAGCCTCCTAGTCATCTGTGGAATCCTCATCTCTAAGAAGTACCTGTTCTTCATCCAGCGACTCATCCTCTACCTCAGCATCGCCGTCTTTCTCAACTCTCTCTCGGTGGTTTTGAGACTCCAGCGAACTGTTGCACTCGGTGGACACAGTGACGACAAACTCCACCCACTGTGTGTCTTTACGGCCTTTGCAGACCAGACCACCTCGTGGTCCACGCTCATTGCCATCTCCTGCATCACCTGCTGTATATTGCTCAACGTGGTACTCCTTCGACCTGTTGAGGCCCTGGAGAAGTTCTACGTAGCTCTCATAGTAGTCCTTCCCCTCAGCTTCAACTGGGTCCCTTTCATTAAAGGGTCGTATGGGGAGGCCGGCGCCTGGTGCTGGATTAGGGGTCAGGATGATGACTGCCAGCAAAAACTCTTTGGGGTCTACCTCCGGTTTATTCTCTGGTACATCCCCCTCTATATTGTTCTGTTTGTCATCCTAGTAGCCTACCTGTACATCCTATACCGAGTGAAGAGACTCAGAGGACACTGGGATGGGAAATATGACCCATCCAACAAGACCACGCGGGAGAAGATGATGAAGGAGTTTCGGCCGCTTATCTGGTACCCCTTGATTTACCTCATATTGGGGGTCTTCCCCACAATCAATCGGATTCACGGGGCTTTCTTTGACGAGCCTTCACTGGCCCTGTGGATTCTTCACGCCTTCTTCTCTCCACTGCGCGGGGGTTTGTCGCTCTCGCCTATGCTCTCGATGGTCAGACAGTTCGTAGACTACTCCGCAATCGTTCTGTCATCTCTACAGCCTTACTAAAACGTAAGAGTCGTGTGATAGAGTACCCAGCAACCAGGGGCCACAGTGACAGTTTTGTGTCAGCTAACGGTAAGAGTCAACTGAATAGAAACTCTTCCAACAACAGGCAAGATCACAGGAACACTACTGAGTTGCAAACTGTAGCCCTCTCTGTTGTAGAGGCTGTGGCTGACAGTGGAGGAGGTGGCAGGGGATCTGTAGAGAATGGTGCTATTCACCATACAACACAGTTATAACTTGTTCCATCGGTACATTATATAGTTGTATGAAACTGATCAATGACAATGTGTGATAAAAAAAGTGCAATGAAAATATGGAGTATGTTCACCATACAAACAGGTCTTTACCGACAAACACATCTCTTTTGAGTCCATTCTTGACTTTCCTTGACAAAAATATCATGAGTGGTACATAATGCGTTCGCCATGATAAGTATTTACCGACGGTTACATCTCTTCTGATTCCATCCTGGACTTTCCTTGTAGTAAGCTATCTGAGGGTCCCGCGTAGATCTCATGGTGGTACTCGCGAACCTGCGGAGTCTTTCTGTAGCAGTAGCAGAGAACCTGCGTGCAGTTTAGTCGTCTGATGGTGTCACTGTCGAGGGCGTATGCAACGGACACAAACCCTCCCTGGAGCGGTCCAAAGATGGCCTGGAGTATCCAGAGAACAAGGATGGGGTGGGTAGGGTTAAAGACTCCGTGCAACCGATTGACAAGGGGGAATACATTTAGGAAGATGTAGAAGGCTGGGTACCAGAGCAGCGGCCATATCTCCTTCTTCATCCGCTCCTTCTCTTCCACTGCGTCTGGGTCGTAGCGACCCTGCCACCTGCGCTTCTCCGAGTGAATCTTGCAGAGAATGACAAAGAAACTCAACACCAGCAGGATCAAGATGGTGTAGAGCGGTATGTACCACAGAGCGAACCGCAGGTACTGTCCGAACTTTGTCTCTGAGCAGTCGCTGTTGATGTCTCTGATCCAGCACCAAGCTCCGGCCCTCCCGTACGTGTAGTGAATGAAGGGGATCCAGTTGATGAGGATTGGGAAGAGAAAGATAATGGTCGGGAAAAGGGGCTCTACTGTCTCCGGGGACCCACCCCACACCACCTTGACAAGCACGCTGAGAGTGATGCAGGAGACCGCGAGGAGCTGCCACCACCCGCTCACCTGGTCAAAGAACCCGGTGGCCATGCACAGCTTGCTCTGCCAGTCTCTGTCGGACTCATAAAACACCGTGTGGAGTCTTAGAACTCCGGCAGTGCCATTTAGGGTGGCGGCTATACTGAGGTAGAGGATGAGACGCTGGGTGAAGACCAAGTATTTCTTGGAGAGGACTATTCCTAAGGTGACTAGGATGCAGGCCAGGGCTGAGACCGCAGCCACTGAAGAAGTGAGGATGGTGACTGCCCTATAGTTCTCTCTGTCATAGTTGAAGCAAATGTCAGAGCTGATGTTACTTGTTGTGTTATTTAACATGTTTTCTGAAGAACTCGTGTGATTTCCAAATTCTATTCTGCCTGCCTCTAAACAACACTGATGGGTAGTAGTGATTGTTGTCCTACCTTTGTCTTTGTTCTGCCTGCTGAAACTTTCCCTGCCTTTGTTCTGTTATTGCTCAATCCTATATACTGCTGGCTGAATGTGCTCTGCCCTTGTTCAATCACCTATTATTGTCCTGCTGTCCTAGTCTTGTTCTTACACTTATTCTTGCCCTGTGTGTTTAGCTGTAGTTGATCAACCCAGTCCTTTGTCTTTCTTGAAGTGCGATCTTGGAATGTCTTTCAAGGTCTCTGATGTCCTCTTGAACTAGTTAGAGCAGCCCTACATCACTGCTGACTCAGTACAAGGTTGTTTACCGGGCTACAAACTGTGTGAATGAACTCTAGACTCTGATAGTCATGTGATTGAAAATGTCCTGGTGTGGATCCAGGCACAGGATTCTGGGAATGGACAAGTGTGCATTACTCCTATACACAGACTGTGAATATACTCACTCTGAATGATGTGTGTGTGTGTGTGTGTGTGTAGGAGAGGGTCAAGAGAGAGAAGGAGGCTGAAGTAAGCAGGAAGAAGGAGCAGAAGAAAGCTGAACTGGCTCAAAAGTGAGTCTGTCAATTGGACAAGTGTTCATCAGGTGTTTTATGAAAAAATTGGGTGAATTTTTTGTAGATGGTCAAAAAGGGAAGAACAGGATTTTGCTCGTGTCATCACTTTCTTTGGTGTAGTCTTTGACTCGAAAGCAAACAAGTACAACTGGACAAGGTTCAGGTAAGGCTCCTATACACATTGTACTGATCCAAGGAGACTGTGTTAGACCAAGTCCCCCCTGCACCCCTGCCCCCCTGCCCCACAGACAGCTGGCCAACCTGACCAAAAAGAGTGATGAGAGGCTGACCCTCTACCTCCATGACTTCCAGCAGATGTGCAGAAGAGTCCTCAGGAGGAAACGTATCAGACGAGGTCCAACTCCTGAGAAATCTTCACTTTCTCTCTCTCCTTCTCTCCCTCGTCCTCTTTATACGGGAATGTGACAGTACATTAGGGGCTAACTTTAAACAATAAGGCCCAGTGTTTAGTACGAGTTTCTAAATTTAGCCCTTACAAACTGCCACATTCCCATTAAAAGTTTCGTAAGGCGTGATGTACTTCTGGCACTACCCCTCTCCTCTCTCTCACCCTTGTTCTCTATTGTTGTGTCAAACAGTATGTGCAATATGCACTGCTTGTTGTACTGTCTCCCTGTCAATAGGGCTGTCTGGAATTCGTGTGGAGCCAATCAATGAGGATCGGTCCATCAGATGTCTCCAGAGGATAGAGCTTCTCTCGGCTGTTAGGACAGAGGTCAGAGTTGAGACCACTCCCAGCAATACGGAATAATAATCATTAGTACTAATTTTAGATTTTGATCCAAGGGGGTCATAGAAATGAAAAAGAGGAGGGGCAAAACCCTTTGTTTGTGTGCACTAAAAAGTTAACTTAAACTCCAAGGGGGGTATAAAAGTAAACTCCAAGGAGGCGAGCGTCCCCCTCCCCCCCTAAAATCAACCCTGATAATCATACCTATGTTTTAACGTGTGCTTGGGTGTATAACTGTCTCTTAGATCCTGCCTCATCCTGACTTTGACCTACTCATTGAGTTATGTGAGCAGTCATTTGAGGTCCCCAACTGGTGGATCCCTGGCTCTCACGACAGAGACCTCCTCAGAGGAGTTGCCAAGTCAGTAACACTACATCACACTGTTTTTTTCTTCTTTAAACTGTTGACAAGTACCGTATATTTCAGTATACTAGAAAGCATGTTATTAAGCTCATCCCTGAACTAGTATTCTTAGCTATAGAGTCAGAACACATGTTTTCAATGCTTGTGCCGATTAATTACACACCAGTCGCAGGACTATGAGCACACAACTTCTTTTATAATGATTTATTCACAGTATCTCATTTATGGAATTGTGTCACTGTTGTGCTCATAGGCATGGGCTGTTTCGCTCTGACCAGCTCATCTACGGTGACCCTGATCTCTGTTTCAAACAGACGGTTCCACAGACGGCTCTCTTTGACCCCACCACTAACCAAGGTATTTACACACACCCCATAATACACCTTTTGATTAGTGCATGGTTATGCATGTGTAGTGTGTGTTTTTCTCAAGTGTCTCAGAGTGCTATAATGCCGTGTCTCATGTTGTGTATGCATGTACATACTGAGTGAGAGTATACTGTGCCTGGTTTGAGGTCTTCCTTGTGTTGTGTTGTAGATTCGAACCCCTACCAGCTGAGTTGCCTTGGTAGCTCGCTCGCCTAGACTGTAGAGTGTCGTGGGTTCGAATCCCACCCAGGGCCGCAGAAGAGCTGCCCTGGGTGTAGTTGACTTGTTTGCCTTGCCTTGCCTTTCTACCAAGTTGTTGAGACATGTATATACTTGTGTAATAGTATTATGTGTTTGTCTGTCTAGTTGCCTTCCAGGAGTATGAGGATGACGAGAGTGGTGGGAGTGACGACGAAGAAGGTCCCAAACTCCGCTCTACTCTCCCTCCCTGGTCCAACCCTGTCCCCCTCGGCTGGCCTAAGGTGAACACATCCTTACCCCACCATATATACTAGAAACCCTGTTTCACACACACAACACTAAGCCTAGCCACATGGACATGACTACTGATGTCAGTACTACTGTAAAGGTATATGTGACTATAGCATGGCTCTTTAACCCTCGGAGCACATGTGTAGCTAAGGTTACAGTACTTGGTCTGTGTGTCCGTCTGTCAGCTCGTGATACAGCCAGCCTGCAGATACAGCGAAATAAGTAGACCGCGTGGCGTGGCCCATCAACTAGTACATTCTTTCTGTTATGTGTAGTCTTTTTACTACATTGTGTGCAAGACACAATCCTTTTGTGCCAAGGGTTTGCATTTTAGTGCTTTTAATAGCAGTATCAAATGGTCAGATAATCTTGCTCCCAGTCTTGGAGTAGTTCAAGTCAATCTCTCAGTCATTAGGTCTATATTTGATTTTATGTGGGGCTATAGTACATATGTAGTTTTCAGAGAGCAAGTGCTGAAAAACTGTGTGTGATGTGGATCTGATGTGTGTCCCCAATAGGAAAAGGCTATAGCCATCAGGATCACAAGGATATCCTATGCCTTCCGTAATGGAGTGTGGCCTAAACCGATGGAAGGACTCGACCTGTTCAACCCAACCATCAGTGACGACAGCTCGGACGGGAGCAGTATGAGTGAGGGTGAGAGTGAGCCTGGGGGGCAGAGCGACGACAGTGACTTTGAGGTGGCCACCACCCGCTCCTCGCGGAGGAGGGCTTCGGGACTCACTGTCCAGATCAGTGCAGCTGCTGTGGGTCAGGGAGGAGGAGGAGGCGAAGGAAGTGGGGAGAGGAGGGACTTTGAGATCGAGAAGGTAAGTATATGCAGTGTGTGAGTAGGAGAGCTTCGAGTGTATAGCCTATATACCCATGTAGAATGTGTTAGTATGAAACCCAATGTTAGATACAGTAATACATACACATTTTTTCCGTGTAGTATCTCCATGTTGTGCTGTTTACCACTACAACAAGTGCTTGTTTCCTACAGTGTGTAGTTTCATTTTCACACAATGTATAGCCACAGCCAATCAATGTTGTATTTCTGTGGCTGTGTGGAGTTGTGTAAACTGTTGACCCACAGCAACAGGGGCTCAAGATGATATTCAAGAAAAGCACAAACACTCCTCCTTTACGTGCCAAGTCGAAAGGTTTGCTTTCAACAATCTGCTCACCAACCAACACTTGAAAACAGGTGCTCTTTCTGCTGTCCAGGTGCAAATCTAGCAAAGAAGAAACAGCCTCCTGAACCACCACTAAAGGTAAATTAGTATTGTCTATTATATACTATATTGTATGGTGTGTGTGCTTCTGTTGTGCATTATAGCTGGAGATAAGGATTCCACTAGTGAAGCTGTCGTTTGTCAGTAAAGCTGGACTCAAACCTATACCAAAGAAGAGGCCAGCAGACAGGGCAACGGGTGAGATTCGTAACCCAGCAGATATCTCATGTTGTGTTGTACAATGTGTATACCTTCTTACCATATTGACTGTGGCACAGGTGGCCCCAGTGACCTTCCAGACTCTAAGAGTAAGAGGCAAAAGACACAGTCAGGCACGGTGAGCAACAGCTGTTTGCCTGTGTGAAGGCGGCACAAAACAATAATGAGACTCCATTAAAGGATGAGCCGACCATCTGAGATAAATTAGGCACTCTATTGCCTTTTGCTTGTTCAATTTGTAGTTAATTAATACAGGGGTAACACAGTATTATGATTGCATGTGCTACCCTCTTTCAATGCACCACAAATTGAACAGGCAAATTAACTATCTATACTAAGACGCTATACATTGTGGGGATCTATTCATGCACACATGTGTAATTCCCTGGTATCCGTTGTGTTCAACTCTCAATGATGCAGCAATCATCACGGATTGACCCAAGCAAAATCAATTTCACTGATCTCAATGGACATGAGAGGGTTGGAGTTGTCAACAGGAACACTAACGAAAGGGTATGCATCAATGCCTGTTATGTTGAGCAGTAAATGTTATGGCTACTCTTAGTACATGTGTACAATCATAGGACCACAGGTTGTAATAGCAGTAGTAGGCTCTAATTCAGATGGATATTGGATCTGGCAGCTTGGTAGCATACACCCGCCTCATCTAAACATAGGGTAATACCCAGGGATCCCCCCCATTTACACACCAGCAGTGTATATTTACACATGAAGTCAGTCACCCCAAATTCCCCACCTGGCCCCCAAGTTCTTGTAGGTGTTTATATTGGCTTGTTGGTTGCTATGCAAACCTCTATCTGTGTTTTGGTTGCTGGTCTGTCTGTGTTTTGGTTACTGGTGTTTAGAATTAGTGACTTTATGTGGGGCACATGTTCATATGTACCTACAGCTTCCCCTCAAACAGTCTCCGATGTTAAAGAACTTGAAATTCTGGCTAGAAGGCCACCCACACTTCAACGTGGACTCAAAGTGGGGTTCACTGGTTATTGAGTGGGTAAGATCTCTCAAACCCTACTCATTGTCACTGGAGTTTCATAAGGTTTTTGTTAAATGCAGGGTGCACTGAAAGCCAGACATGTATCATAGGGTCCTGCTAGCAGACCCATCAGAACAGCCTTCAACTTTCTCATCAGCATTATGATGATCTCTATCAGATTGTGTTCTGTAACTGTGTCATTCAGCATAACAAGGAATAGGGGGCGCACAGCAAATTATGGTCATTTGCACGCGCGCCGCGCCCGGACGCGGCGCCGCAACTTAATTAGCGCGAGCGCGGCGCCGCGCGCGCGGTGAGCAGCTGTGGCGTAAATATAATACGTGAACGAACATCATAGATACTGCAGTGCTGAAATGGACGTCCCGCGAGGTGTTGGTCGTGGCAGTAATAGCGGTGACGGTCGCCAAGACCGAAGGCGGCGGCCTCAGAGAGGATCAGGGGGTAATGTCGGAGATTTCGGACACGGCAGGGAAGGTCGTGGAAGGAGGCCTTTCCGTGGGGACGTGGGGGACGTCGCGGTAGTCAAGGTGAGCATGCAAAATATGCCGATTTGGAGGATGAGCGTGCACGGCGTAACTACCAACGTGGTCGAGGCGGAAGAAGGTTCCGCGGAAGCCAACGCCGCAATGCCGGCGATCGGTCGCGTCTCGGGCTCACTCCGGAGAATATTCGGGAATTAGCAACCTTAGAATCAGTTGAAACGTTAGTCAATAAAGTCGATCAACAACTAAAAGCGTTTCAAGAGGCTATTGGAGATGTGAAAACACCAATGCCCGACGTGGTTAAAATTTTGTCAAAGATTGTCGTTTTGGCTAGCAAAAGAGATGCAGATGGGCAAAGTAGTGCTAGCAAATTATCGCAGAAATTTTAAGCGTCAGAAGTGAAACATTCCACTTCCAGTTAAAAAGAGCAGTACAGAATATTGAATGCACAGTTGCTCAGGCTGAGAATTTTTGTGGCCTGTTTCAGTCAATGCTCACAACTTTTGAATCCCTTTCTGGGTGCCTTCCAATTGATGAACTTTATCAAACAGTGAAAAGATTGACCAAAGGTGGCACCTTAAATTCAGATCTACTGAAAATGGCAGAAGAAATTGTAGAAGCAAGAGATCTGAATAGGCTCTCAGATACTAACAAGGACAAGCCTGAATCAGTTGATGGGGGAGAAAGAGATGATTCAAAATTCAAGTTGATTCCAATACTCCCAGAGTGGAAGGAAATCAAGGAAGACAATGGTACTCCCCCTGAGGTTCGTCCCAATAAAGTGGACGCTCCATACAAGGACTGGATGGAGTACTATGACATACAGTTTCGTCTCGTTCGGGAAGACTTCATTGCACCTCTGCGACGTGGTGTGGCTGCCTTCCTACAGGGAGACAAGGGAAAGAAGAATAGAGATGTTAAAACCTACAGTGGAGCCACGATTGTGTCTCAAGTGACAACAAAGGACAAAGGAATATGCTTTATGATACAATTTGATGTCTCTGGCTTCCGTAGAGTCAATTACAATTGGGACCAGTCAAAACGGCTAATATTTGGGTCATTATTGTGTTTTATCCCCATGGCCAACGACTCGATCATAATATTTGCAACTGTTGCTGATCGTGACAGTAAGGAGCTCACCAAGGGACGCATAATGGTTCAGTTTGAAGGGGATGTTCTAGAGGCAATGAATCACGTCAGAAATGGAACCAACTTTGAAATTATAGAGTCAAATTCTTACTTTGGAGCAACCAGTCCAATTCTCCGCAGTCTACAAAGAGCAGAAGTTGAAACAATGCCATTTACAAAGCAATTGATTGAAGGAAAGTGTGATTCAGTTCAACCGCCATCTTACTTGAGAAATAAAGATACTGCCATAACCTATGATTTGTCCTGCCTGCATGGGCCATTAAACAAGAGAAAGAACAAGCCTCCCCTCGTGATAAATGTTCTAAATGAAGAAAGCTGGGAGGCAGCGAGCGACAGTGAACTAGATTCATCACAGCTGAGTGCAATCCAGACAGCTCTGACTCAAGAGATTGCTGTTATTCAAGGACCACCAGGGACAGGGAAAACCTACATTGGATTGAAGATAGTTGAAGCCTTGCTGCAGAATAGAAAAATTTGGGATCCTCGCAAGTCAAGTCCAATACTAGTAATGTGCTACACAAATCATGCCCTGGACCAGTTCCTGGAGGGAATCATTGACACTGAATGCTGTGGAAGAAAACTGGATGTAATACGAGTTGGTGGTCGATGTAAGAATGAGAAGGTAGACGAACACAACTTGACAAAAGTACGCAGAAATGTACCCAGACGTCATGGCTTTGGATTCAGCCGTGAATTTGGAAAATTAAGAGGAGAAATTGAGGAATGTAATCCAGAAAAGGTCTGGCGAAGTTTGGACCTACATTTCAAACGCAACAAATTCCTGCCAATGTTTATCTTGTACCATGTAGCGCATCCAAACCACTATTACCAGCTAACGCAAATGGCACAATGTACTGAACAGCAAGGTAGAGAGGTTGAAGTCTGGTTTGATTTATGGGAAGAGATGCTCACTAAAACCAAGAAACGAAAAATAATTAAACCAGTTGAACCACCTCCGGAAGAAAAACAAATTCCCTCAGAGGAAAACGACCAAACAGAACAACTCCCCCAATTTGAGGAAGAGAACCAAGTTGAAAAAATTCCCAAAGAAAACAAACACGAGACGAAAGAAAATACTCAACAACTGCAGCAGAATGAAGAGGAGCAAATACCTCCTGAGCAGATGTCTGGTGAAAATGTGGCAAACAGAGAAGAAGAACTAATTGAAATTAAAGGTGAAGCTACACTAGCTCAGGATGACAGAATGAATGACGATGACATAGAAGGATTCCAGAGACTTCAAATCCCCTATGATCCCCCAGAGGATGATGTCTATCATCCACCCTCAGCTCAGAAGGAAAATGCCGATGATGAATCCGAGAATGAAGCCGTAGAACAAGAGATTGATGAAGAATACGTAATAGAATCAAAGTGGGAACAAAAGGAAGGCGCTTATAACACAATACGGAAACATTTATTTAACAAAGCTTATATTATGGACGATGAGGAAGTTGACGAAATATCCAATACTAACCTAATGTCCTTAAGCAACAGAGATCGCTGGCGACTGTACAACTATTGGGAAGAACAGCAATACACATACTTGCAAGAAGAAAACAGGAAGAGAGTTGAGAAGTATAGTGAAAAATGCAGGGAACTAGCTGAGCTCAGACAAAGAGAAGATCGATGCATTCTCGAGACAGCAGATGTGGTAGGAATGACCACCACAGGAGCTGCCAAGTACCAGCACATTCTCCACCGCATCAAACCAAAGATTGTGATTGTGGAGGAGGCGGCAGAGGTTCTGGAGGCTCACATTGTCTCTGCTCTCAGTGCTGGCACCCAACACCTCATTCTCATTGGAGACCACAAGCAACTCAGACCCAAACCTAATGAACATGTCCTAGCAACAAAGTACAACCTCTCCATCTCCCTGTTTGAACGTCTGGTGAGGAAACAGATGTCTCAAGCAACACTAGAGATTCAACATCGCATGAGGCCAGAGATTGCTCAACTGGTGTGTCCTCATGTGTATGAGAAGCTTTGAACCATGAAAGTGTTCAGAAATACCCTGACATACGAGGAATATCAAAGAATCTGTTCTTCGTTCATCACAGTGAGCCAGAAAGCGAAAATCCAAACTTGATGAGTTATCAAAACGAATTTGAAGCCAAATACATTGTTGGTCTCTGTGCCCACTTACTGAGACTGGGCTACTCTCCAAGTCAAATAACTATCCTCACACCTTATGTCGGACAGCTCATGATGATAAGAAACAAGATGCCAAAGAGTGAATTCAATGGAGTTCATGTGACAGCAATAGATAACTTTCAGGGAGAAGAAAATGACATCATACTCTTTTCAATGGTCCGCAGTACCAATCCCAAAAGCAGCAGAACAACAATTGGTTTTTTGAAAGAAGACAACAGAGTTTGTGTGTCTCTGTCGAGAGCAAAGCATGGATTCTATGCCATTGGAAATTTTGAGTTGATCCGTCACCAGAGCCGACTGTGGGAGTCAATCATCTCTGACGTGGAGAGCAGAGAATGTTATGGCAACTCCCTCCCTCTCTACTGCTGCAATCATCCCGAGATAAAATACTCAGCCCAGACAGGCTCAGATTTCGAAGCTAGAGCACCAAATGGTGGATGCCGAAAAATGTGTGACATTCGGCTACCATGTGGGCACTCATGCACTCAGATATGCCATGTTGTTGACACAGAGCATGCTGAGTTTAAGTGCAAGAAAATCTGTGACAAACCATGCTCCTATAATCACCCATGTAAATCGGGGCATTACTGCTACAGGAACTGCCCACCGTGTCGTGAGAGTGTTGAGAGAGTGATTCCTGACTGTGGCCATACGCAAATAATGGAGTGCTGGGTGAAAGATCACAAGTGCCAAGAAATTGTCACAAAGACCATGCCTCGGTGTGGACATGAACAGGATATTCCGTGTTCCACTAAGCCATCACTTGTTTTGTGCCGTGCCCCGTGCCCAAGAAAATGTATAAATGAACATCCGTGTCAGAAATCTTGCTCTGAATACTGTGGCCAATGCCTGGTAGAAATGGAGAAAGTGGTTCCTAGCTGTGACCACAAACAAATGATCCCCTGTAACATGCAGCCTGAATGTTTCAAGTGCAAAGCTCCCTGCCCCAAACTTTGCCCAAATGGCCACCCTTGTCCCAAAGAGTGCTCCAAGCCCTGTGGCAAGTGTAAGCTGAGAATTCCAAAAGCAGTCTCTACGTGTGGGCACATGCAATACATGAAGTGTTACCAGGAGCCTGACCCAGCCAACTGCAGAGGTGAATGTGAGAAGTTGTGTCCAAACGGAGAACACAAACTAAGGAAACTCTGCTCTGAAGATTGGCCTGAATGCAGGGAAAGAGTAATAAAGACACTTCCAGAATGCGGGCATGCAGTTGAAGCTCAATGTATTGCAGATCCCTCCACTATCCTCTGTGTTAAGCCGTGTGAAAGGTCATGTGAAGCTGGCCACAAGTGTCTTAAACTCTGCCACGAGAAATGTGCTCCTTGCCCATCAAAAGTCAAGAAGACATTACTATGTGGACACACCCATGTAATGACATGTGGACAAGCTTCCAAGAATTCCTTTAAATGTCCAACAAAATGCCTCAAACCTATCTGTGAAAGGGGTCACATTTGTAAAAGTACATGTCACTCTCCAAAAACATGTGGAGTTTGCAAAGAGATGGTTACCATCCAATTATCCACTTGTTCCCACAAGCAAACCTTGAAATGTTTTTCAAGCACCGATCCTGCATCATATGGACACACCTGCCAGCATCCTTGTGAAAAGAAGCTTCAATGTGGCCATGTGTGTCAGAAAAAATGCGGAGAACCTTGTCAAAAGATTTGCACAGAAAACGTTGTATTAGACTTAATTTGTGGCCACCGAGCAAGAGTACAATGTCACAAAAAGTCTCAGGATACTGTAATGGTAAACTGCAAGGAAAGAGTCAGTGTCAGAATAGACTGTGGCCATACAACCCAAACTGAGTGCTACAAAGCAAAGTACAAAAGTCTACTAAGAAAGGCTTGCAACAAGGAATGCAAGAAAACCCTCTCCTGTGGACATGCCTGCCAGAAACCCTGTGGAAACATGTGCACAAGAGAGTGTATGAAGCTTGTAAGGAGAAGGAGGAGGAGCTGTGGGCATGTACTAGAGTGTGAGTGCTACCTGGCACACACAGTTGACCATTCCCCCTGCACTAAGAAGTGTCAAAAAAGGTTACCTTGTGGACATCCCTGTCAAAATGCATGTGGAGAGCCGTGTTCAATGTGCACACTCAAATCCCTACATCGGTATCCTTGTGGGCATTCAGCCAAGATACCCTGCAACTCATCCATTGAGGAGAACCCATGCAAAAGGAAGTGCACTACTGTCCTCAGCTGTGGTCACAATTGCTCTGGAAATTGCGGACACTGCTACTCGTCAAGGATGCATGCTGTTTGCATTTTTGAAATCAGATTGCAGCGTTACTGTGGTAATTCTGTCACTCTGCCATGTGCTGGCCTCGCTGATTATTGTGATCGCAACACACACACTATTCCCTGCGTACATACTAGAGACCACAGCAATTGTCAACAACTGTGCAGCTGGAACTGTAAGCACTTTCAGTGTCAGAAACAATGTACAGAGGAATGTGACAGACCTCCATGCAATGAGCCTTGTGACAAGGAACTGCGTTGTGGTCACAGGTGTCCTGGACTCTGTGGAGAGAGATGCATGAGTGTGTGTCTACAGTGTGACAAAGGGAAATTCATGAAAGTGTTCCATACCAAGGTTAGGGCCAAGAGAGGTCAACTACCAAGAAATGAATCTTTCTTTGAACTTGACTGTGGACACGTATTCACGGTCAGAGATCTAGATGAATATATGGAGATCTCGGAAGGGACTGTTATGCCAAGGAAATGCCCTAAGTGTCATCAGAACGTAGCTGTCGGATCACGTTACGGGAATATGGTCAGGAGATCTGCAACAGATGCTGTGAATATAGAAACACGGAAGCGAGATCTCCGGAGAGAGGCTACACTGGCTACACTGGCTACACTTAGCCATGCAACTTTTGTTAAACTCGCTCCTGCACCGTTTAGCTCAATAATTCGGTATAGTCTGACTGCAATCACTCCTGAAAGCAATGAGAAAAGATGCTTAACGGAATTTGTAGACTCATCTCTTGCCCTCTACCTCAGTATAGAGTCACATAAAACAGTCCCTGGCATCACTTCCCTAAATGAGCAGTTGGGGAACTTGGCGCGTGCACTTGTGAACAAGGCTAAAAGTGATCCCAGACTAAAACAGGAACACATGCTGGGAGCAGCTGCACACCTGGTTCCAGAGAGAAGAGAATCGCCAAAGCTGCCCTTAACGTTTCAGCTTCTCAACGACTTCAGAAGCGAGCTCTACCGCGTGGCCTTACGTGCACAGTGCTTGATAGCCAGAAGTCAAAATTCCTCCCTTTGGTCCGTAATGAGGGCAAGTCTAACTAGATCTAGACACGAGGACGCCATAGCAAACACACAGAAATACCTCGATTTCCTTGATCCGCTGAAGGACAGAATATCTGAAGAAACGTATGAAGTCTACTTCCGTCAGATCACAGCAGCTTTTCCCTAATGTGGCTACTGTACATGTAGAGACCCCCCGAGTCCCACCAGTTGTGAAGGGGACATGGATGAAGTGTTCAGCTGGACATTATTACTGCATACCTCCAATATGTGGAACTGAGAACCAAGTAGATTGTAGATGCCCAGACTGTCTGTAGTTTAAATGTGTATTATGTTATCATTAGTGAGTATAGTATCTCAAAAACATGGATTACTTGTATAGAAATGAAGATATTAATGCGTGAATGATGCAACACGACAATAGTGTGCTAACTGTCCCAACCTATATATATGTTTCTGCATAAGGTCAAGGTAACCAAAGACTCTAAGTATCTTATTTCTGCGCGCGAATGGCTTGTGAATAATCCATTTAATTCCCTGACTGAGTGTGATAATGAATATCACTTACAGGGAATAGCATCATACGCCCATGTGCAGTGTACATAGAAGGTGGGGAAAACAAAATGCATTTTACACGTATAAAGCTTATGGTGTAATGCGTAATGGTTAAAATGCAGCACATTGGAGTTCTTTACAAAAAGCAGAATATTATGTATATTATACTTCACACAAACTAAAACGTTCAAAAAAGTAATAATGTTAGTCATCAAGGTTGTAGTTTGCCATATTGGCCTGGTCAGACCAGGCTGGGTATGCGGCACCATCCATCTCTGGGGCAAGAACGTTATCGGCAAGAAGATTGTGGTTTGTTCCCCCGATTTTGGCATCACATTCAGAGCACTTTGCCACCACCACTGCTCCCCCACAATCTTCAATACAATAATAGTGTCCATTTGGACATTTGAACCAATGGCCCTTAGAAAGACCAATAACTTTAACTATTTCAATGCGCTCAGCGTCTGTTAGACCTTCAAGCTTGTATTTCTTTTCAAAACCTGTTATGAAATCGTATAACACCAGTCAAAATATTCTTCGGAAACTTTAGGAATGCTGAACCTGTACGCCCCACTGCGGTAAACATGTTGAGCATATTCATCAAGACTTTGTTTCTCTTGCAGTGTGATGGTTATTTTCCTCTCTTTAATAAGCGAGTGGAGCTTCAAAAGACGAATCGTGCAGTTGAGTCGCCTGATTTCACATTGGATATCACTGAGCTGTTGGTCTGTCAGAGAGTCTTGCATCAAAAACTCTTGCACACATTGTAGCTGTTGGTGGATTGTTTCGACCTTGATCTTGCAGTCTCTGAGTTGCCAGCTCTTCTGCTCTACTTGAGTCAACTCATTGTACATAGTGACAATAGTTGGTAGTATTGCCAGCTGGTTCTGAATGGCATTCAGGCAGTGGGGCAAAATGTAGCGAGGCCGTGTGCCTGGACTTAATAGGGACTGAATTTTCTTAACATCAGCTGTAACTTCCACACATTGCCCTCCCTTTGATTTTAGCTCCCTTAATTTGGGCATTAGCACTTGGCCAATGTTTGACACTTGAAGCTGCTTTTTCTTGATTTCCTCAAAGTGATTGTGAACTTTCTTCACTTCATTGTAATAGCGCAAACTTGTTCGAATGAGAGTGCTGCAGCGAGGGCACTTTTTGAACTGTATTTCCTCAGATTCTTCCCTGTCCATCCACTGGTCAAGGCCGGTATATTCAAAGACATGCTTGCAGTCTTGCAACTGAACGAATCTGGCATCTGGTTCATCTTCCTTTCCAAAAAATATCTCTGTGACCTTATCATTGTCACACACACGGCACAGTTTGGGGCACTTGTCACCACAAAGACCAATACATGGATGGCCACATTTACGAAGCCTTTTCAGACACGGCATGTCGCATCGTGGACGATTGCACAGCTCCCCACACTTCTTAGTGCATTTAAGATGGTCGCAGTTCCACTGACAAGGCTCTGCACAGGGATCACAAGGCTCGTAGCAATTCTTTGGGCACTTGCTGTGAGGGCAGTAGTTGGAGCATTTAGCTGTGCATGGTGGACACTCAGCTGCACAGGGAAAGTGACATATGTGTCCACACACTAGTGTACGTCCACACTCTGATCCACAGTGAATGTGCAACCTTCCCTGCTGACAGAGACCACACGTACCTTTGCATTCATGCTCACATTGCAACAAAGTATTGCATGGGACCAAACACTGAATTTGTTCAACACTCTTGTGGCACGGCACCGTCGCATTGTGGCCACAGGGTAGGGCTTTCTCTACTTTAACAGAGCAGCGGGTATCGCATGGCTCAGAGCACGACCTCTGGCAAAAATGGCCACATCGGAGAGGCTTCTGGCATTGAGCAGAACAAGAATACATGGATAGGTTTTGTTGGCATTTCATTCTCATTTGGTGCCCACACCTTGGTACACGTCTCTCCACTTCTTCTTCACAGGGACCACACCCACCAGTGCATTCATAACACTTCCTTTTGCACCCGTGCCGGCATGGCAGAGGCTTGCCACACTTCTTTTGACACTTGAAGAGCTTGTGCTCGCGGTCCCAAGGGTGGCACAGACGAGTGCACCCATGACCACACTTTAGACGATAATCGCAGGGTCTGGTGCAGCCTCCCTCGGGGCACTTGCTGAAATCACTTGCTACTTTGGCTCGGACCACTTCCTGGGGGTGATTCTGGCACTGGAGTAGCAGAGCCTCTCCAATGCATTTCTTCTCCTCCACTACTGATATTATTGTCGGCCATATTGTACCATCGCGGCTTCTTAGCATTGCAAAATTTCCGATCACATATAATCCTTTTCTAGCTCTGGAAAGGGCTACGCAAACCCTATTTTCAATCTTCAAAAATCCAATGTTTCCGTCTGAATTGCTTCTCACGAGTGACAGAAGAATAATATCGTTTTCCTCACCTTGAAAGTCATCCACGGCAGCAACACGAACACCATCGAACTCGCTTCTCCTCATTCTGCTTTTCATTTGCAGCAGCTGGCCTTTGTACATGGTGAGAAGGGTAATTTGTTTTGTCTCGTATCCTTGCTTGGTCAAATAGCGGCACAGAGCAACCATGAAATCAGCTTCGTGTATGTTTACATGACTGAGTGACTCGTTTGGGTTTTGTTGCTTCTCGGGGTGTTCATGGTGAAGAAAGAAAAGGTTGTGACCAACTCCAGCTATTTTGTGTTTCCCATGCTCAATTGCTCGTGGTCCGTTTTGTAGCTCAGAGTAGATAGCTGGATGTATGAGTGAGGCAATGTCTGGCCTCATTCTGTGCTGGACTGTTAGGGTAACATGAGGAATAGGAATATCATTTTCTATGAGCCTCTGAAAAAGAGAGACGTGAAGATCATACTTTTTCTCAAGTTCATAGTGGTTTGGTTTGGGTCGAAGCTGTTTGTGGTCTCCAATGAGGATGAGTTGCTGCACACTTGGCGAGAGAGAGGTTATGACGTGAGACTCAAAGACTTCAGCAGCTTCTTCGATGATCACAATCTTTGGGTGAATATTATTCAGGATGTGATGGTATTTGGCTGCTCCAGTAGTGGTCATGCCAATGATGTCGGCTCCCCTCGCTACATGGCAATCAATCTCTTGCTTCATTTGGGAGTAGTCGCTACATGCTTTGTTGTAGGCCTCGGCAGGACCTTCTAACTCCTGTTTCTTTACTCTCAGATATTCCTGCACCCAGTAATGATACATTTTCCAACGTTGTTTGTTGTTAAGTAAGCGTACATCTTCGACCTCTCTTGCATCATTCTCCTTCAATGGCTTAAACTGGAGCCCCTTCTTGATCCTTTTCACTCTTTCCTTGTCACTTATTTGGATAGTCTGCCACTCGTTTGTTCCCGGTTTTTTCTTTGGTTGTGGATTTGCTTCAGGAGTTGCTTCTCTGTCATTAAAAAATACTTCTTCTCCTTCTGTGATTCTTTCTTCTTGTAGAATTGTCGCCTCTTCATCAACGGCCACCGTTTCATCTTCGGAATTGCTCTCCCCTGCACTATTGGCTCTTCATCTGTTGCAAACTTTTGCAAAATATCGGTCGGTTCATAATATTCTTCCATTTCAGGCTCGGTTGGTTTCCATAGGTTGAGCCAAACCTCCATTTCCTTACCTCGATCAGTTGGCATACCTTCAGACAACTGGAAATAGTGCTCATTGGATATGACACATTGCAATACGGATAACGGAAGGACACTGTGCTCAATTGAACTTATATGTTTCTGTAACTCAGTAAATTTTTCCTTGTAACGATCCATTTCAGTGCGTAAATCTCGACTTCCTCTATACATGCGTGCTGGCAAGGATCTGCTGTTACGTACATCGGTTACTTTTTGTGCTAGGACAAAGTTGGCCAGGTTTTCACTCTTGCACCGACCCCCAATTCGAACAATGTCAGGAGGAGGCAATTCATCTTCTAAGCAAGCATCAATTATTTCTTCCAGAAACTGATCGAGTGCATGGTTTGTGTAGCAGACTAACAACACTGGGGAATTTTTCTCTGGATCCCAGCCTAGACGGTTGTGTAGGAATGCCTGGACAAGTTTCACACCAATGAATGTCTTCCCTGTACCAGGTGGTCCTTGAATACAACTGACCTCCTGACGCATTGCCATTTTTAATGCGTCATACTGCGATTTGTCTAAACGAGACATATTGTAATGAGGCCATGTTGTCTCGTCCGTAATTTTAATACCGTTGGCTTCTTTGCACTTTAGAACCTTTGCAAGGTTAAAACCAGGTGCATTATACCTACTAATATATAGGGGAGGGGAAGGATCGTGGAGCTTGCAGTCTACAATGTAGCGTTTGAAAGGCATGGTGTCTTTCAATAGTGAGGCATGCTGAAGGGCAAGGAGAACGTGTCGATATGCTTCAAAGTATGCTGTTGATTCAACCATTGTATATTCATCATCAGGGTCTATATTGAACCCACTAGCATTCCCTTCAAACTTCACTATAAGCCGACCTTCTTCTAGCTGCTTTGCATCCCGCTTTACTACTGTAGCAAAAAATATAGATCCTCCCCCGAAATCTTGGTTTGAGAGGCAGAGCAAGGAACCAAATATTAGCCTCCGAGAATGCTCCCATTTTGTGTGCTGGAAATGGGTCGTGTCGAAAGAGATTTCAAACCCCATCCCAGACACAAGACAAACTGGAGCTAACACGTGCACATGCTCGTATGTGCGAATGGCAGAACGTCTATATTCAGAGGAATGTTCATTGATCCCCTCACGGAGTGGGGCAATAAAGTCCTCTCTCAGAAGACGAAACTGAACATCAAGATAGTGGTCCCACCCTTTGTATGGACCCTCTACTTTATTGCGTCTCAGAAATGGCTTGTGACCACCCACCAGATCCTCATTTTGAGGAAGAATGGGAATGTCATTGAAATTATCGGGAGGTATCCTATCATCCTCCTCTAAAGCAGACTTCTTAGCTGGAGTTGGCTCCGACTGCAATTGCTCACGTGCTAAGTCTAACTGATGCTCAAGCTCTGCACACTTCCTTTCCAGCAGTTGAACATTGCTACTACGACCGAGTGCTTTAATGGTGCCAGAAATTGTAGCTTGTGGGAATGAGCCTAGTATAGTGCTTGGGATTGTATTGACACCAAAGAGCCCAATATCAATGAGGTATTGGAGATAATTTACGTTTTCTGTCATTTTATGCTCTGGCTCAATTGGCATGCCCTTTATCAATCGGTCGACTTGAAAGCAAAACTGGGCACAGTTGCCATCTGGACTGTATATCTGGCCGAGGACTCTAGAGGCTAGGATACCTTCCTTGCTTTTCACAAGCAAATAAACAATCTTGATCAAGGCTTTCAAAATGTTGGGGTTGCTACAGGACTTACTATGACCAAAAACACTCAAGAATCCAGCCTCGTTTCTGAAGAAGGGTATCCACAACTTTGTCCGTAGTGCTAGCTGCTAATCCTGTTATTTCATTCCATCTTAGGTACCTTACGCCCCTGTGAGTGCGAGCATCTCCAGACTCACTCCGATGAGAACTGGCCCCTTGCTGTGGAGGCCTCTCGCTGGGACTTCCATATCGGCGCTGCCTACCACCACCACCGCGCCTGCTCATGACTGCCTGAAAAAAAGTAAGCCATCCGTTGGTATAGTGATAGGTATAATGTATAGGTATCAAATACTGGTATTTGGCGATATCAAATCCAAAGCCAAGGGATCGCCAGCCCTCCGCGCCAGGGAAGACGGCGAGTAGCTACTGAACTACGTGTAACGCCGGGACTAACACTGACAGCGACTGTTTTTCAGGCCCCTATCTACCCTCACCAAAACGTGGTATTTCGCTATGAGCAACATACTTGATCAGTCCTTGTCACTGCGTTGGTCACTACGTGAGTCGCGCCACCACAGCTTGTGGAGAAATGCACCAGGAAAATCACCGCGAGATGAAATTTGCCGGCCGGTTGGGCCGGCTGGTTCAATCTACGACGTAATCGTAAGCAATGGCCGGCCGGGCCCTAGGGTAATACCCAGGGAATGTTCCACATTCTTATGTGGGTGTCCTGCACTGTCGTGGTAACACTGTATGAGAACAGGGTATGAGAATAGAATGATTGTAGTACACAAACCACTGAAGTGCAAACCTTCGGCGCACTGTGACGCGCACGCGTAAGTAAACGCATGCGCAGTACCACTAATTGATGGGCTGGGTTTAGTTCTAGCATCTTCTGGTGCCTCCGAAGTACGCAGAGCACGCGGATCGATCCGACTGTGGTAAGCCCTCCCGTCCGTTGTATATTTGCATATTGGCTTTTTCGCGCTCTATAGCTTTGCAACGGAGCATTTTCAGAGAAAACCGCCTTTGTTTTCTGACCTTCGTCGCCCGTACGGTAGATGGTATCGTTTCTGGGACGAACAGACGTTCGAGGAGTGAGATATAGAGTAACAAACAAACAGACAGACTAGACAGACCCAACTACTGTACCCTCGCTGCGCATGCGCGCCGAGGGTAATAAACACATCGTCTTTCACAGTGCATGTCTTGATGTATGGCATTCAGGACAGCAGTCATCAGTCTTGGCATACTGGAGGTACACTTATGAAATCTTTCAATAATTGCCAAGAGAGATGCACCTTAAATCGAGTCATACCACGACAAGCAATCGATTGAATTCATACTGTTTTTCCACAGTTGAGACTATTAACATTTCTTTCAAATATTTTTGAGATAAACTATACGTAGCTAGCGTCAAGTTCTACATGGTATGACTGCAGGCTTATGTATAGGGTAAAAGGAGGTCAGCACACTGAGCCAAGCAGCTTTCTTCAGCAGTAACAGGAAGAGCGCTATCTAACTTTTCTTTAATGAAGCCAAAACCGTTCTTACTTCTAGTTCTCGTACAGTGGATCATGCTTGTCTAATTGTTCATCAAGCACATGTCCTTCCTAAAGGCTTGCATGACTTAACTCCTCTCTCTCCACCTCAGGAACAGATGCTTTTTCCAACATTAAACTCTTGACAATCTCAACATAGGACATAGCTTTGTTAATTGCATTTCCATATCGATTTCCGGTAATAGTACTTTTGTGGCATTTTGGACATTGCTTTGGCTTTACATTTGAACCTTCTGACTCCATATATTGGTTTAGCTCTTTAACAATGAATAATATGCCCACAGTTAAGTTCAAAGAAAAGTTCACTTGTTGATTAGGCGACGACCATCTCTACAGTTTGAGTGGAATTGCTTTGTGGATTCATTGTCAATACACTGGATGCACACTCTCTTTTTCATAAATTTCTCTGTGTCACATTGGATGCACACACTCATGCATCTCTCTCCGCAGAGTCCAGGACTCCTGTGACCACAACGCAGTTCTTTGTCACAAGGCTCATTACATGGAGGTCTATCACATTCCTCTGTACATTCCCGGCCACATTGATAATGCTTACAATCCCACGTACATGGCTCATGGCTCGTGACATTTGGTGCCATCTTCTCCATGTGTGCAAAGACATGTTTTGTGATCACAAGAATCAGAGAGACCAGCACAGGGCTGAGTTACTAAAGTCCCACAGAAATGATTCAATTTATTTCAAAAGCAGACACAGAATGCATCCTTGATGAGTAACAGTCTCCACATTTTCCATAGCAGCGATGACCACAGCTGAGTATTTTTTTCCCCTTCATTTTACATTGGCATGTGAAATAACAGCGTACTTTATTAATGTAAAGCTACTCTTCTCCCTTTGTTGTCTTTGAAAACATTCATACTCTACCATGTGTCCACACGGCAATTTCTCTTCAATACGTGTTCGACAGATTTTTGTACAAGGTTAGCCACACCTTTCACTCAAGTTCTTTAGAACATTTTGTGTACAGACAACCTCTTTGACATTCAACTTTAGTGGAATGCCCACAAACCAGTGTGATCGATACTTCCTCAACACAGCTTTCGCTGCACTTATTCAGGCGACCACAGCTTAGTCTTTTCTCACAAGGCTTCTTACAAACATATTATTTTTGTGGGGTTTTACTCATATAACACACATTTAATGTTTTAGCTCATGTGAGCATTCAGGTAACTTGATGGTCACAATTTCACTGCAGACTCCATGATTAGCTTGAACTTCAGGGTCAGTTAATTTCTTAGCCTTTTTTTGTCTGAATTGCTTCTTTTTGAGTTGTTGCTGATGCCTGTACCTGCTGATCCGGAATAAGGAAATTATATCAGTCTATAATTCAAGCCATACTTCGACTTCTTTATTTTCATGCTCTTCACATTGAGCCATTTGTTTTAGTTGGTAATGATGATATGGGTTTGCCACGTGCCTGATAATGTGAAGTGGTAAAAGAGTTAGCTATCCGCCTGTGATGGCGAACTATACTTTGCGTAAATTTCCTTCGGGGTGGCAGGAATGTAGCTGACCTAATAATTCACAGATATCTTTGGAATACTCAGTGTATCTGCTTTTTCGAATTCTGTTCAAGTTATGAGCTTCCACTTTCTCATTCTTACATCGACACACCAACTCTTGTTTTCTACCACAGCATTCAGTGTCAACGATTCCCTCCAGGAACTGGTCCAGGGCATGATTTGCGTAGCACATCACTAGTATTGGACTTGACTTGAGAGGATCCCAAACTTTTTTAAAATTCTCCAGCAAGGCTTCAACTATCTTTAACCCAATGTAGGTTTTCCCTGTCCCTGGTGGTCCTTGGTCCAATCCTTCTGGTCCACTTGGCAATTTGACAGTATCATAACCACGGCATCGAGTGATTCCGATCTGATTATTTCAGCACTTCCTAGTGCCTGTTAAAATTCCTTAAGCTGGTTATGCACTCTCTTTACTAGTATTGGCTGGATCTATTGCGGACAGCCCTCGGCGCGCATGCGCAGCGAGGGTTACGGTACCTGTCTGTGTGTCGACGCCTCGCACTACAGGCTACGAGGCGGCCAATGAGCAACACCAACGGCTTCAGAACTACGCGAACCTGAAAAATAAAAAGGCCATTTTCCTGAAACGACTGCGTTCGAGAGATATGTCGCGAAAAACAAGCGAAAAAGCCAATATGCATAGTTAATCTTATCCGCTTGCTCTGTGTACCTTGGCGGCATAAGTCCCAATAAAGGGCGTCGACACCCGCATGCTATCTTATTATTGGCGAGCGGGAGCGAGCCAACCTAGTGGTACGAACGGCGCGATTTTTCTATATAATATATATATATATATCTACGACCGTCGTCGACGTCGTGTAAGTGCGCATGCGCGTATTTGTACGCGCTTCTTTTTATCCGAAACTATTTCCAAATTTTTACACATTTTCACACACGGTGCCTGCCTCGCGATGGTAGTGGTACGAACGGCGCGATTTTTCTATATAATTTATATATATAATATCTACGACCGTCGTCGTACGTCGTGTAAGTGCGCATGCGCGTATTTGTACGCGCTTCTTTTTATCCGAAACTATTTCCAAATTTTTACACATTTTCACACACGGTGCCTGCCTCGCGATATGCGCCGATCGATCTATATAGCCAGCTAGAGAACTCTCCTCCATTCGACGGCATGCGCTGCAACCTTCGGTGACTGACCGAGGCTGTACCTCTTCCCAATCTTCATGGTTCCAAGCTGCAACTTGCAAATACGCTAGGATTGCTCGTGCACGTACGTACTGCTGCATGCCAGCTGCCTGGTGAACCACGACTGACGAGTTGAAAGCGTAAGGTAAGTACCGTTCTGCTCACCTGCTCACAGTTCTGCCAATGTACAATACGTTATGTAACGGCGACAGGTAGCTCTGTCTTGCTTCACGAAAGGAAAGCTGTGCGCTGACGGCACGTTATGCAACCCGAACATCACGGGCAAATCCCAAGTTGGGTCGCTCCCGTTCGCCAACAATGTTCAACATTTGCACTAGTAGTGTAGCTAGCCCGTGTCAAACTCTCCGCGAGCTATTGTAAACGCATAGTGATAGCCCAGCCCATCATACTGCACATGCGCAGTGCGCCGAGGGTTCGGTGTAGCGTACGCGTGCCCATAGTTGCCCCTTCATCTCTGTCAAGTGTAAGGTGCGGTCTTCCTCTCCCATGTCTCGCGTTCGCGCCTCCCGATCTTCCAGAGCGCCGGCCGTCGCTTGCGCTCGCTCTGCCGCGGCCTCTGCTCGGTTCGTGGCGAAGACGTGGTTACCACCTAGCTAAGTGTAGCGAACGCGTTGGATATGTAGCACGCGGTGGTCGTCGCGCTTGTCGCGGCGCGGGTCGATCGGAGAGGGGCCAATTTCGCGTGTGGAAGGGCGCGCACCATGGTCGGGGTCGGTCTATATGAACATCCTGGTCGTGATCTGCAGCTAAATCCGAATAAAAATATTGCACTGCTTTATGTGTGCAGCGGATGATACGATGTTATTCATGGTTCGGGCCGGAAGTTGCTGAGCCGATCGTAGCAAGTTGGGTGGCCAAAACAACTTCACCCTTGCGCAGCGAGGGTACTGCGGCCTCTCCACGCGCGCGCATCCGGAAGTTGCGCAGGGATAAATAGCGACACGGAGTTCTGGAACTAGCGCTTGTAGCTATGTCCTATCGCGGTTCCCGCCCGCCGTACAGAGCGGGAAGACGAGGGCCTCGAGGGAATTGGCCGGGGTATATGTCCCGTGAATGGGGTGATCACAGGCAGGTGAGAAGGGGCCATCAAAGATGGTCGCCATATACATATGACCAGCATTCTCCGATTTCTATTAGCGAATTAGCTAATCTTGAGCCAAGGTTGTTAGTAAACAGGTTAAATAGCCAGCTCAAGGAATTTCAGCAAAAAATTGGAGATGCCACAACTCTAATGGCTGATGTGGTTACAGTTCTTTTGAAACTTGTTGAATTGACTAGCAAAAGCAATAGTGAAGAACAAGGTGATGCTAGCAAAATAATTGCAGAAATTTTAAGTGAGCGAAGTGAAAGGTTTCATTTTCAACTTAAGAGAGCTGTACAAAGCCCTAAGTGCACGCTGGCTCAAGCTGCAAATTTTTGTAGTCTGTTTGAGTCTCTGCTGCAAACATTTCAGTCTCTATCAAAAGATTGCCTTCCAATGGATGAACTTCTTGAAACAGTAAAGAGATTAACAAAAGTTGGCACCATTAATTCTGCATTGCTGGAAAGAGCTGAGAATTTATGCGAAACAAGAGATCAAATTCGAGACACACAGATTAACCCATATATCATGGCTGTTGACGAAAGGGATGATACAGGTTATAAGTCTCTTCCAATACTCCCAGAGTGGAAGGAAATCAAGGAAGACAATGGTACTCCCCCTGAGGTTCGTCCCAATAAAGTGGACGCTCCATACAAGGACTGGATGGAGTACTATGACATACAGTTTCGTCTCGTTCGGGAAGACTTCATTGCACCTCTGCGACGTGGTGTGGCTGCCTTCCTCAGGGACAGGGAGTGAAGAATCGTGATGTTAAAACTTACAGTGGAGCACAGATTGTGTCGCAAGTGACAACAAAGAAAAAGGAATTTGCTTTTGTCAAATTTGATGTCTCTGGCTTTTCGCAAAGCTAAATACAATTGGAAGCAATCAAAGAGGTTGATATTTGGTTCGCTTTTGTGTTTATTCTAGAATGAACATGTTTGAAATAAGTGCCATGTTTGCCACTGTTGCAAAACGAGATATATGTGAATTAGAGAAAGGAAATATCATGGTTCATTTTGAAGGCAATATACTCTCCGAAGCAGTGAATCACTGTGCAATGGGTACAGAGTTTGATATTATTGAATCGAATTCCTATTTTGAAGCAACTAGCCCAATACTTAAAAGTCTACAAGAAGCTGAAGTTGCAACAATGCCATTCACAAAACAATTAATTGAAGGAAAGTATGAGTCGGTTTTACCACCAGCTTACCTTACGAGAAACAAACTCAAGTTCCCATATACAACTGTCTTGCCTGCATGGGCCAGTGAGAATGAGAAGAAACAAGCCTCCTCTAATAGAGGTTCTAAATAGAGAAAGCTGGAAGGCAGCGAGTGATAGTAAACTAGATTCATCACAGCTGAGTGCAATCCAGACAGCTCTGACTCAAGAGATTTCTGTCATTCAAGGACCACCAGGGACAGGGAAAACCTACATTGGATTGAAGATAGTTGAAGCCTTGCTGGAGAATAGAGACATTTGGGATCCTCTCAAGTCATGTCCCATACTAGTAATGTGCTACACAAATCATGCCCTGGACCAGTTCCTGGAGGGAATCATTGACACTGAATGCTGTGGAAGAAAACCAAACGTTATAAGAGTCGGTGGTAGATGCAAGAACGAGAAAGTGAACTGCTACAATCTGAGTAAAGTACGTGAAAAGTTATCAAAACAGCATTATTTAGAAGAAGAAAAGTTACAATGCAACCCAAATGAAGTTTGGCAACATTTGAATGGATCATTTCAAACGTGACACACTCTTGCCATTGTACGTCTTGCAGAAAGTAGTTCATCCATACCACTACTATCAGCTGACACAGATGGCACAATGTGCAGAGCAACAACATAAGGAAGTTGAAGTCTGGCTGGATTTATGGCATTTAACCTCTACCAATGTGCGTCACTTACCTAATGAGGACAAGGATTTAATTGTGGTGGACAAAGTTGGTCAGTTTAATGATGAAGTAGTCCAAGGTAGTGTAAAAGACTTGCCTGAACAGGAAGATGATACTTTCCTCATAGAATATGACAGACAGTATGAAGGTGATGATGAAGGATATATGAGTGCTAAATTGCAGAAAAATTTCACAGAAAAGATAATGAGCCAATATGTTCATCCTTATGTTGAAGATGTATCAACATATGAGTCAGACAATGACAGACCAAAAGTTGAATTTGAGGGAGAGAAATGGGTTCGTAAAGCAAATGCCAACAAATGGATAAAACAAAATTTACACAAAAACTCCATGGATGACGAAGAAGTTGAAGAGCTATCATATATTTCTATTGCTAAATTAAGTATTGAGGATCGATGGCGATTGTATAATTACTGGGAAGAACAGTGGTATAAGTTCTTGCAAGAAGAAAATAGAAAGATGGCTCAGGAGTACAATGAAAAGTGCAGCGAAATAAATAAATTGAGGCAACGTGGAGACCAGCACACACTAGAGTCAGCAGATGTGGTGGGAATGACCACAACAGGAGCTGCCAAGTACCAGCACATTCTCCACCACATCAAACCAAAGATTGTGATTGTGGAGGAGGCGGCAGAGGTTCTGGAGGCTCACATTGTCTCTGCTCTCAGTGCTGGCACCCAACACCTCATTCTCATTGGAGACCACAAGCAACTCAGACCCAAACCTAATGAACATGTCCTAGCAACAAAGTACAACCTCTCCATCTCCCTGTTTGAACGTCTGGTGAGGAAACACATGTCTCAAGCAACACTAGAGATTCAACATCGCATGAGGCCAGAGATTGCTCAACTGGTGTGTCCTCATGTGTATGAGAAGCTTTTGAACCATGAAAGTGTTCAGAAATACCCTGATATACGAGGAATATCAAAGAATATGTTCTTCGTTCATCACAGTGAGCCAGAAAGTGAGCACCCAGGCTTACTAAGTTATCAAAACGACTTTGAAGCCAACTACATTGTTGGTCTCTGTGCCCACCTACTGACACTGGGCTACTCTCCAAGTCAAATAACTATCCTAACACCTTATGTCGGACAGCTCTTGATGATAAGAAACAAGATGCCAAAGAGTGAATTCAATGGAGTTCATGTGACAGCAATAGATAACTTTCAGGGAGAAGAAAATGACATCATACTCTTTTCAATGGTCCGCAGCACCAATCCCAACAGCAGCAGAACAACAATTGGTTTTATGAAAGAAGACAACAGAGTTTGTGTGTCTCTGTCGAGAGCAAAGCATGGATTCTATGCCATTGGAAATTTTGAGTTGATCCGTCACCAGAGCCGACTGTGGGAGTCAATCATCTCTGACGTGGAGAGCAGAGAATGTTATGGCAACTCCCTCCCTCTCTACTGCTGCAATCATCCCGAGATAAAATACTCAGCCCAGACAGGCTCAGATTTCGAAGCTAGAGCACCAAATGGTGGATGCCGAAAAATGTGTGACATTCGGCTACCATGTGGGCACTCATGTACTCAGATATGCCATGTTGACGACACAAAGCATGCTAAGTTTAAGTGCAAAAAGCCGTGTGAACGGAAATGTACTGAAAATCACAAATGTCAACCACAACATAATTGTTGTGACACCTGCCCACCATGTAGAGTTAAGGTAGAAATAACCAAGTCTGAATGTGGCCATAGGCAATTGATTGAATGCAACTTGAAAAGTAATCCATGGTCAGTGAAATGTAATGCTCCATGCTCAAAAAAGTGTCTCAAGGGGCATTTGTGTCCAAAGAAATGCTCAGAACATTGTGGATCCTGTCGTGTGGAAATAGAAAAAGTTATTCCCGACTGTAACCACAAACAAATGATTCCCTGTTACCTGCAACCTCATTTAGCTGAATGCAGGCATGAACAGGTAAAGTTGTGTCCAAATGGACTGCACCAACTTAAAAAGTTTTGCTCTGATAAATCATGGCCTCAATGCAAGGAGAAAGTTACCGAAAAGCTTTCTGATTGCGGCCATACAGTTGAAGCTCAGTGTTTTGAAGACCTGTCATCTATTCTATGTGATAAGCCTTGTGAAAGGCCATGTGAAGCTGGCCACAAGTGCCTTAAACTCTGCCATGAGAAATGTGCACCCTGCCCATCAGAAGTAAAGATTACTTCACCTTGTGGACATACACATGTAATGAAATGTGCACAAGTCAGCGAAAATGTCAAATGCCAACCAAATGCTTAAAAGTGAACTGTGAAAGAGGTCATTTATGCCAAGAAGAATGCCATTATCCTCAACCTTGTAAACCTTGCAGGGCAACTGTGACCATTCAATTTCCCACATGTTCGCATCGGCAAAATTTAGAATGCTACAAGAGCCTTAACCCAAGCAAGTATGGTTACACTTGTAAGAGTGATTGTGAAAAGAGACTTCAATGTTCCCATAAGTGCAATAAACAATGTGGACAAGTCTGTCAACAAGTATGTGCTGAGAGTGTCAAAATTAATTTAGAATGTGGCCATGAGACGAAAGTTGAATGTCACCGAAAGTGTAACAGAGACCTACTTGTTTTGAACTGCAAGAAGCGAATAAAACTTAAACTTTCATGTGGACATACTCTTCGAACTGATTGCTGGAAGCAAGAATATAAACTTTCGTTGAGGAGCGATTGCAAGAGGAGCTGCAGAAGATTCCTTAAATGTTGGCATCCTTGTCAGGAGAAATGTGGCAGCCCATGCACAGTGAGCTGCAAATTCCCTGTTAAAAGAACTCAACCATGTGGGCACGAAATTATTATTGAATGCTTCCAAGCAGAGACTATGAACCAGTATCAGTGTCATCTTCAGTCAATGCGCCACTATCCATGTGGACATTCGTCAAAAATACCTTGCAACTCAACAATTGAGGCACATCCATGCAAAAAGGAATGTCAAATTGTTCTCAGTTGTGGCCATCGCTGCTCTGGAAAATGCGGGGATTGCTGCTCATCAAGGATGCATGCTGTCTGCATTTTCGAAATCAGATTACGTCATTATTCTGGTAAATTAGTAACTTTGCCCTGTGCTGGCCTCTTTGATTCTGGTGATCACAAAACACCTCAAATTCCATGTGCACATTCAGGTGACCACAGCAATTGCCATGAACGGTGTAGCTGGGACTGTAAGCACTTTAAGTGTGGCCGGGAATGTACAGAGGAATGTGATAGACCTCAATGCAATGAGCCTTGTGACAAAGAACTGCGTTGTGGTCACAGGTGTCCTGGACTCTGTGGAGAGAGATGCATGAGTGTGTGCCCACAGTGTGAAAAAAGGAAATTTATTCGGCAGTTGCACCCCACAGCGAGGCTCGGTCACATACCAGCTAATCAGCCTTTCTTTGAACTTGATTGTGGGCATATATTCACAGTTGGGTACCTAGATGAATGCATGGAACACTCAAATGGGACAATCCAGCCAATGCAATGCCCTAAATGTAAAGAGAATATAACCATAGGATCTCGTTATGGGAATAGAGTAAGAAAATGCTGCAAAAGATGTGATGGCCGTTGAGGACATAATAAAAGAGCAAGAGAGTGCACTTGATCATGTGACTCTGACTGTTACAGATGATCTCATTGAGAACTCTCAATATCTTGGCCTCATACAGAAAATATTACGCCCACCAAAAAGTAGTGAAAGAAGTTGCTTGACTGAATTTTTCAACTCGTCTATGAATATACATCTCGCCTTGCAGCAATATGCAGCTGAATACCCAAGCATCTCTACTGTAAATAAGAAGATCATAGATTTGGTAGGCACTCTAATAGACGGTGCAGTAAAAGAACCACAAGTAGCAAGGAATGCATTATTTCAAGCTCATAAGGAAGTTAGACTGGGTTTAACTTCTCAGTTACTGATTGATTTCAAAAGTGAACTTTATCGGTTGGCTTTGTATGCACAGTGTTTGCTTGTCAGAAGCCAATATCCACCAATCGAAGGTACAAAGAGAATAAGATTAACTTCTGAACCCCAAGATGCTATAGACCAAGTAGAACAATACATAAACTCCCTCAATCCACTGACACAGAGAGTATCTGAAGATGAGTATGAAAATTACTTCAGTAAAATTGAAGTTGCAAATCTCTATGTGAGCGCCACTACAGTACCAGTTGCAACAAAAGGAGTATGGATGACATGCTTTATTGGACACTATTTCTGTGTACCCCATGTCTGTGGACCTGTTTCTAAGACACCTGTATGTCCAGATTGCAAGTACATGTATATAGCGTTCTAGTGAGTATGTCTTAAAATAATGATTATAATTATTGAGCAATTGTGAATCTAATTATTAGCATGCCATTTGGTCGCATTCTATACCAAAATCCTCCTAGCTCTTGCTCACACTAGCTATATTGCATGCTCCACCTGGAAGCATTACTACCTGGAAGCATTACTAGCATGCTCCACCTGGAAGCATTACTAGCATGCTCCACCTGGAAGCACTCCATTGGTGATTCTGAATACAAGCATGCCCATCTAATGAGCATTCAACACCAACTTTTGTAACCCTGAATACTAGCATTAGACATTCCGCATGACTCTGAATACTAGCAGGCCCACCTTGAAGCATTCCGTGTCCAACTCCTCGTGACTCTGAATACTAGCATGCCCACCTGGTAGACCGAACTTAGTAGTGTCATAGCACCCTTGAATCAGAATTCATGTCTTATTTTATGAGCTGCTAAAGTTCATTTGTGACTTGTCAAAGTTGATAGTTGGCCTTGCGTTTTTAGCACTTGGATGTGAATAATGGGCAGGGCACATGAGTAGTGTCTCTTACATCAACTACATACTACGCAAGGCTTACAGGGTCCCGAGCAGTCACCTGGAAGCATTACTAGCATGCTCCACCTGGACGCAATGACTACCTAAAAAGCATTCCATTGGTGACACTGAATACAAGCATGCCCATCTAATGAGCATTCAACACCAACTTTTGTAACCCTGAATACTAGCATTAGACATTCCGCGTGACTCTGAATACTAGCAGGCCCACCTTGAAGAGTTCAACATCAGACTCTGAATAATTATACTAGCATGCCCACCTTGAAGCATTCCGTATCCAACTCCTCATGACTATGAATAATAGCAGGCCCACCTTGAAGAGTTCAACATCAGACTCTGAATAAGTATACTTGCATGCCCACCTTGAAGCATTCCGTATCCAACTCCTCATGACTCTGAATACTAGCAGGCCCACCTTGAAGAGTTCAACATCAGACTCTGAATAAGTATACTTGCGTGCCCACCTTGAAGCATTCCGTATCCAACTCCTCATGACTCTGAATAATAGCAGGCCCACCTTGAAGAGTTCAACATCAGACTCTGAATAAGTATACTGCATGCCCACCTTGAAGCATTCCGTATCCAACACTCCTCATGACTCTGAATACTAGCAGGCCCACCTTGAAGAGTTCAACATCAGACTCTGAATAAGTATACTTGCATGCCCACCTTGAAGCATTCCGTATCCAACTCCTCATGACTCTGAATACTAGCAGGCCCACCTTGAAGAGTTCAACATCAGACTCTGAATAAGTATACTTGCATGCCCACCTTGAAGCATTCCGTATCCAACTCCTCATGACTCTGAATACTAGCATGCCCACCTTGAAGAGTTCAACATCAGACTCTGAATAAGTATACTAGCATGCCCACCTTGAAGCATTCCGTATCAACTCCTCATGACTTGAATACTAGCAGGCCCACCTTGAAGAGTTCAACATCAGACTCTGAATAAGTATACTAGCATGCCCACCTTGAAGCATTCCGTATCCAACTCCTCGTGACTCTGAATACTAGCATGCCCATCTGGTAGACCGAAGTGTCATAGCATCCTTGAATCAGAATTCATGTCTTATTTTATGAGCTGCTAAAGTTCATTTGTGACTTTTCAAAGGTTGATAGTGTGCCTTGCGCTTCTAGCACTTAATAAAAGTGATGTGAATAATGGCAACATGAGTAGTGTCTCTTACGTCAACTACATACTATGCAAGGCTTACAGGGCCCCGAGCAGTCACATGCACAGAGTTAATACTACATTTGCAGCTAGATATGCATCTGCGGGAGTATAGAGTTAAAACATACTGTATAATAAGGAATTGTAACTTGAAATTCCATTGTTCATTCCGCATGTGGCTCAATGTCGTGTGGAGCAGGTATCAATATCTGAAATGAATGTCGATCCTACTTCTGTCGACTAAAATCTCATTTATGTACAAATGCAATAACAATACATACTACTATGTACATGTGTACATGTTCAAAAATGTTAGTCATCAAGATTGTAGTTTGCCATATTGGCCTGGTCAGACCAGGCTGGGTATGCGGCACCATCTATCTCTGGTGCAAGAACGTTATCTGCAAGAAGAGTGTGGTGAGTTCCTCCGATTTTGGCATCACATTCAGAGCACTTTGCCACCTCCATTGCTCCCCCACATTCTCCAATACAGTAATAGTGTCCATTCGGGCATTTGAACCATCGCCCCTTAGAAAGACCAATAGCATTAACTATTTCAATGCGCTCAGCGTCTGTTAGACCTTCAAGCTTGTACTCTTTTTTAAAACGTGTATTCAATGAATTTGTTACCTCAGCGAGATATTCAGACATTTTAGCTGTGCCTTTTGTTCCACTGCAATATACTTGACTTACACTTACTTCAAGACTCTCTTTGTCTTCTGGTGTAACATCACAATTTCTTTCCTTTAAAAGTGAGTGGATACTAAAAAGACGAATTACACAGTTAAGTCGTTGTATTTCACATTGAATATCACTGAGCTGTTGATCAGTTAGCGACTTTTGCATCAAAAACTTCTGCACACATCTTAATTCTTGATTGAGTGTGCCAACTGTAATATTGCAATCAATGAGTTGCCAGCTCTTCTGCTTTACTTGAGTCAACTCATTGTACATAGTGATAATAGTTGGTAGTATTACCATCTGGTTCTGAATGGCATTCAGGCAGTGGGGCAAAATGTAGCGAGGCCGCGTACCTGGGCTCAATAGGGACTCAATTCTCTTAACATCAGCTGTAACTTCCACACATTTCCCTCCCTTTGATTTAGCTCCCTTAATTTGGTTATTAGCACTTGGCCAATGTTTGACATCTGAAGCTGCTTTTCTTGATTTCCTCAAAGTGATTGTGAACTTTCTTCACTTCATTGTAATAGCGCAAACTTGTTCGCATGAGAGTGCTGCAGCGAGGACACTTTTTGAACTGTATTTCCTCAGATTCTTCCCTGTCCATCCACTGGTCAAGGCCGGTATATTCAAAGACATGCTTGCAGTCTTGCAACTGAACGAATCTGGCATCTGGTTCATCTTCCGTTCCAAAAAATATCTCTGTGACCATATCGTTGTCACACACACGGCACAGTTTGGGGCACTTGTCACCACAAAGACCAATGCATTGATGGCCACATTCTAGCCTTTCCAGACACGGCATGTCGCATCGTGGACGATTGCACAGCTCTCCACACTTCTTGGTGCATTTAAGATGGTCGCAGTTCCACTGACAAGGCTCTGCACAGGGATCACAAGGTTCGTAGCAATTCTTTGGGCACTTGCTGTGAGGGCAGTAGTTGGAGCATTTAGCTGTGCATGGTGGACACTCAGCTGAACAGGGAAAGTCACATATATGCCCACACACTAGTGTACGTCCACATTTAGATTTACAACGAATGTGCAGTCTTCCCTGGAAACATAAACCACAAGTGCCTTGGCATTCATGCTCACATTTTAGCAAAGTATTGCATTGAACCGAACACTTGATGCTCTCTACATTTTTATAGCATGCCACTGTAACAGAATGATCACAGGGTAGCACTTTTTCCACTTTTATAGGACAAAGAATAGCACAACTCTCATGGCACAGCTTCTGACACACATGGCCACACAAGAGCAACTTTTGGCATGGAGCAGAGCAGGGAAATGTTGATGGGTTCTCGCAGCATTTCATTTTAATATTGTGCCCACAATGTGGTATTTGCTTCTCCACTTCTTCTGAGCAAGGTGCACACCCATCAATGCAGTTGTAACACTTCCTTCTACATTTGTGCTGACACGGTAAAACCTTTTCACAAAATTTGCGACATTTATAGGATTTGTGCTCTGAATCCCAGGGATGGCACAGGTGGGTACAAACGTGACCACACTTGAGACGATAATCGCATGGCTTAGTGCAGCCTCCCTCAGGGCTTTTGCTAAAATCGGCTGGAATCTTTGCCTTTATCGTTTTCTCTGGGTGATTTTGACACCTGAGCAGTAGAGCATGTCCAATGCAATCCTTTCGTTCCACAACCGACAGGATTTGTTGCCATGTAGTACATTTCTTTAGCATTTTAAAATTTCCAATCACATACAACCCTTCTTAGCCCTGGAAAGTGCAACACAGACCCTATTTTCGATCTTTAAAAATCCAATATCTGCGTGCGGATTGCTTCTCACGAGTGACAGTAGAATAATATCGTTTTCCTCACCTTGAAAGTCATCCACGGCAGCAACACGTACACCTTCAAATTCAATTCTCTTCATTCTACTCCTCATTTCCAATAGTTGACCTCTGTACATGGTGAGAAGAGTGATTTGTGTTGGTTTGTAGCCTTGCTTGATGAGATAGCGACACAAGGCAACCATGAATGCAGCTTCATGAATATTTTTATGACTAAGCGACTCATTGGGGTTTTGCCTCTCCTCTTCATTCTCATGGTGAATAAAGAAAAGGTTGTGACCAACTCCAGCTATTTTGTGTTGCCCATGCTTAATTGCTCGTGGTCCGTTTTGTAGCTCAGGATAGATAGCTGGATGTATTAGTGAGGCAATGTCTGGCCTCATTCTGTGCTGGACTGTTAGGGTAACATGAGGAATACCGTTCTCTATAAGCCTCTGGAAAAGGGAGACGTCAAGATTATACTTTTTCTCAAGTTCATAGTGGTTTGGTTTGGGTCGAAGCTGTTTGTGGTCTCCAATGAGGATGAGTTGCTGCACAGAGGGAGGTAAGGAGGTTATGACGTGAGACTCAAAGACTTCAGCAGCTTCTTCGATGATCACAATCTTTGGGTGAATATTATTCAGGATGTGATGGTATTTGGCTGCTCCAGTAGTGGTCATGCCAATGATGTCGGCTCCCCTCGCTACATGGCAATCAATCTCCTGCTTCATTTGGGAGTAGTCGCTACATGCTTTGTTGTAGGCCTCGGCAGGACCTTCTAACTCCTGTTTAATCACTCTCAGATATTCCTGCACCCAGTAATGATACATTTTCCAACGTTGCTTGTTTTTAAGTAAGCGTACATCTTCAATCTCTTCGGTTTGTCTCCTTCTCATAGGCTTATATCGAAATCCATTCTGGATCCTTTTCTCTCTCTTTTTCACTGATTTGGGACAGTGTTCCATGCTTGTGATCCACGCTTTCTCTTTCTCTGGTTTTTCTTTGGTGATTGTTGGAAGATATCATAATGAATCAGAACTTCTTCTCCTTCTATTATTCTTTCCTCTTGCAATATAGTCGCTTCTTCGTCGACAACAACCATTTCTTCCTCTAAATTTACTTCGTCTCTCGGGGGTGATTCATAAGTGTGCATATGCTCATATTCTTCATCTTCGTCATTAAAGTCGTCGTATTCATGGTATTCAGTGGCTTCCATAGATCAAGCCACACTTCAAGCTCTCTACCTGGCTCAGTTACCATTCCTTGGGATATTTGCTATAATGCTCAGGAGAAATGACATCCACTAGTAGATATAGGAAATGATATTTGTTCCGGTAATTGGCATACCTCCATGGAAATTTGCCTTGTGGAAATTCACTTCTCTGCGAAATGTTTTACTTTCGCTGCGCATATACAAAGGTAACAATGCCTCCCTGGCTATTGTTGCTAGGACAAAATTTGCCAGCTTGGTACTTTTACATCTGCCCCCAATTCGAACAATACTAGGAGGGGACAATCCATCACTGGAGGAAGAATCAATGATTTCTTCCAAAAACTGATCGAGTGCATGGTTTGTGTAGCATACTAATAAAATAGGGGAATTTTTCTCTGGATCCCAACCGCTGCGGTTTTGCAGGAGGTTTGCACACATTTCAAGCCAATAAAAGTCTTCCCTGTACCAGGTGGTCCTTGAATACAACTAATCTCCTGGCGCATTGCCATTTTTAATGCCCTGTACTGCGACATGTCAAAACAGGTACTCTTACAATCTGGCCAACTGTTCTCATCAGTGACATTAATGTTGTCAGCTTCTTCACATTTAAGAACCTTTGCAAGTTAAAAACCAGGTGCATTATACCTACGAATATATAAGGGAGGGGAAGGATCGTGGAGCTTTGTGCAGTCTACAATGTAGCGTTTGAAAGGCATGGTGTCTTTTAATAGTGAGGCATGCTGAAGGGCAAGGAGAACGTGTCGATATGCTTCAAAGTATGCCTGTATGATTCAACCTTGTATACTCATCATCAGGGTCTATTGAACCCACTAGTGTTTCCTTCAAACTTCACTATAAGACGACCTTCTTCTAGCTGCTTTGTATCCCGCTTTACTACTGTTGCAAAAAAGATTGGTCCTTCTCTGAAACCTGTGTTCGAGAGGCAAGCAAAGAACCAAATATTAGCCTCCGGGAATGCTCCCAAATTATATTCATGAAAATGGCTTGTGTCGAAAGAAATCTCAAACCCAATCCAGACACAAGACATACTGGAGCTAACACATGCACATGCTCATACGTACGAATTCCACGACTTTGGTGGCTCAGAGGATGTTCATTGATCCCCTCACGGAGTGGGGCAATAAAGTCCTCTCTCAGAAGACGAAAACTGAACATCAAGATAGTGGTCCCACCCTTTGTATGGACCCTTTACTTTATTGGTCTCAGAAATGGCTTGTGACCACCTACCAGATCCTCATTTTGAGGAATAATGGAAATAGTGTGTGTGAACTTTCAGGAGGCTCCTTGTTATCTCATCTTCGGCTGATGTGTTAGTGGGGGTAGTGCGGGACAGCAACTGGTCACGTGCTAAATCAAACTGTTGTCCAAGCCCACACAATCCTTTTCTAGCTTTTTAACAATCTTTTCCGCTCCGATTAATGCTTTGATAGTAGCAAGAATTGCAGGTTGGGGGAAGTTTCAAGCATAGTTGTTGGGATTTTTTGGATACCCAAAACCCCAATATCAATGAGATACTGGAGATAATTTAGATTTTCAGCCATAAGCTGCCGTTCTATTGGCATGCCCTTTATCAACCGGTCAAGTTGAAAGCTAAACTGAGCACAACTGCCATCTGGGCTGTATATCTGACCCAGGACCCTGGAGGCTAAGCTATTTTCGTTGCTTATCACAAGCAAGTGAACTATCTTAATCAATGCTTTCAAAATTCGAGGGTTGCTACAGGACTCACTGTGGCTAAAAACACTCAAGAATCCAGCCTCGTTCTGAAGAAGGGTATTCACAACCTTGCCAGGAGTGCTAGCTGCCAATTCCGTTATTTCTTCCCATTTAAGGTACCTTATGCTTCTGCCAGAGCTGGAGCGGGTTTCTACAGACCTGGTATGATGGTAACGCGATGCTCCTTGCTGTTGAGGCCTGTTGTGGTATGGACTTGTCCTGTCTCTGTGGCGAGGCCTGTTGCGGTATGGACCTGTCCTGCCTCTGTGGCGAGGCCTGTAACCATCACGCGAGCTCATTCTCTGTATAAATAAAAATAAAAACAAGAATCTACAGTATAGCTATAGCCCCAGCTGCGTAGTAGATTTCCGTACACCACGCCCTTCATTTATAGCAACGCAACTATCGCTTGGTACTATAATAGCCAAAGATGCACCTGTACCCGCTTAGAGTCGCTCGCCAGCAGCAGGTCGGCACCCGGCTGAGAGCGCCCACGCACAATTATTCCGCGCATGCTCACGAATTATGGTTACCGAAATCCGCGCGCGGCGCCATAGTTATGTAAGGCGCTACGCCGTCTGGACTTTGTGGAGAGATGCATGAGTGTGTGTCTACAGTGTGACAAAGGGAAATTCATGAAAGTGTTCCATACCAAGGTTAGGGCCGAGAGAGGTCAACTACCAAGAAATGAATCTTCCTTTGAACTTGACTGTGGACACATATTCACGGTCAGAGATCTAGATGAGATCTCGGAAAGGACTGTTATGCCAAAGAAATGCCCTAAATGTCATCAGACCATAGCTGTCGGATCACATTACGGAATATGGTTAGCTGACAAATGCATTGACTGTCTGATATTTAATGCGTTTTGCTGACGATCATTTAGCTAGCTCAAATTGGCATAGTTTTTTACTACAATCACTCCTGCAAGTAATGAGAAAAGATGCCTAACGTCAGAGAGTGATGCTAAACTTAGTCCTGTGATAATATTTCACTCAACAGACATCGCAGGCCGTTAGTCCCTAAGTCTAGAAACAGACAACTCAAGGATTGGTTTGTTAAGTGACTAGCTCAAGAACCTGACATTGGCACTGGTAAAGAAGCACATGAATGTAGCTGCTCATCTACTTCCAAAAATCCACTTTGTCAGTTGTTTAGGACTTGTCCATATGGACCATAGCACACACTGATTCCCTCAATGGCCGATGAACAGAATCTCCAAAGATTATGAAGACAACCACTGTCAGATCACAGCAGCTGTTCCTATTATGTAGAGACTCCCTGAGTCCCAATGTTGACTATAATTATTATAATATTTTCTCAGAAAGAGTGCATCCAAAAAATATTCATTACACAACCAAGACAATATGAGTGGGAAATGTGTATAATTCATAGTAGATACTCACTATACATACAATGAAATGTCTTTCTACAAAACTATTATGAAATCCACTGTTGGTTAAATTTCAGGCTGCTACATTTGGGTGAGGTCATGGGTAAAGCACACGTCTTGTGGTAAAAAGGTTACTGATACACACACCTACACTGTTACTTAGTATAACTGATAAAAAATAATCAAAACTGGTAGTTAGCCATGTTGGCTTGGTCCGACCAGGCTGCATATCGTGCACCATCAATTTCCGGTGCCAGACGATTATCTCCCCGAAGTGTATGGTTTGCTCCACCAATCCTGGCATCACAATTAGGGCACTTGGCTTCTTCCATTGCTCCACCACACTCTGTGATGCAGTAGTAGTGTCCATTTGGACATTTGAACCAATGGCCCTTTTGTAGACCCATAGCTTTGACAATCTCCACACGCTCCTCTTCCGTTACCCCGTCCAACTTGTATTTTGTTTCAAAGAATGTTATTAGTTTCGAAAATCTATCCACAAATTCTTTAGAGACTTTGGGAATATTGTGTCTTGCTCCACTGTGGTAGACATAACTTGCATACTTATCGGAACACTCTTTTTCTTCAGGTGTGATGGTAATTTGTTTCTCTTTAATAAGCGAGTGGAGCTTCAAAAGACGAATCATGCAGTTGAGTCGCCTGATTTCACATTGGATATCACTGAGCTGTTGGTCTGTCAGAGAGTCTTGCCTTAAAAACCTTTGCACACATTGTATTTGTTGGTGAACTGCTTCACTGTTTATCTTGCCATCTCTGAACTGCCAGCTCTTTTGCTCTACTTGAGTCAACTCATTGTACATAGTGACAATAGTTGGTAGTATTGCCAGCTGGTTCTGAATGGCATTCAGGCAGTGGGGCAAAATGTACCGAGGCCGTGTGTCTGGACTTAATAGGGACTCGATTTTCTTAACATCAACTATAACTTCCACACATTGCCCTCCCTTTGATTTTAGCTCCCTAAATTTGGGCATTAGAACTTGGCCAATATTTGACATTTGAAGCTGCTCTTTCTTGATTTCCTCAAAGTGATTGTGAACTTTCTTTACTTCATTGTAGTAGCGCAAACTTGTTCGAATGAGAGTGCTGCAGCGAGGACACTTTTTGAACTGTATTTCCTCAGATTCTTCCCTGTCCATCCACTTGTCAAGGCCGGTATATTCAAAGACATGCTTGCAGTCTTGCAACTGAACAAATCTGGCATCTGGTTCATCTTCCTTTCCAAAAAATATCTCTGTGACCTTATCATTGTCACACACACGGCACAGTTTGGGGCACTTGTCACCACAAAGACCAATACATGGATGGCCACATTTGAGTCTTTTTAGACATGGCATGTTACATCGTGGACGATTGCACAGCTCTCCACACTTCTTAGTGCATTTAAGATGGTCGCAGTTCCACTGACAAGGCTCTGCACAGGGATCACAAGGCTCGTAGCAGTTCCTTGGGCACTTGCTGTGAGGACAGTAGTTGGAGCATTTGTGCATACATGGTGGGCATTCGGCTGCACAGGGAGAGTCACATATGTGTCCACACACTAGTGTACGTCCACACTCTGATCCACAGTGAATGTGCAACCTTCCCTCCTGACAGCGACCACACGTACCCTTGCATTCATGGCCACATTGTAATATACTATTGCATGAACATGGGCACACGATTCCTTCAACGGCCTTGTGGCATTGCACGGTTACATTATGGCCACAGGATAGGACTTTATTCACCGGGACAGAGCAGTCAGTATTGCATGGCTGTGAGCAAATATTCTGGCAAAAGTGGCCACAAGGAAGAGGCTTGAGACATTGAGCAGAGCACAGCAATGTTGAAGGGTTACTGTGGCATTTCATTTTCACGTGGTGTCCACATTGTGGTATCTGCTTATCCACCTCTTGATCACAGGGGCAACAACCATCAGCACATTGGTAACACTTTCTTTTGCACTTGTGGAGGCATGCTAATGTTTTTTCACATTTGTTTTGACACTTGAATTTCTTGTGTTCGCGGTCCCAAGGATGGCACAGACGAGTACACACATGACCACACTCGAGGCGGTAATTGCAGGGTCTGGTGCAGCCTCCCTCAGGGCACTTGCTGAAATCACTCGCTACTTTGGCTCGGACCACTTCCTGGGGGTGATTCTGGCACTGGAGCAGCAGAGCCTCTCCAATGCATTTCTTCTCCTCCACTACAGACAGGATTCGTGGCCATATTGTATCATCGCAGCTCCTTAGCATTGAAAAATTTCCAATAACATAAAAACCCTTTCTCGCTCTGGAAAGTGCCACACATACTCTGTTTTCAATCTTCAAAAACCCTATGTTTCTTTTCACGTTGCTTCTCACGAGTGACAGAAGAATAATATCGTTTTCCTCACCTTGAAAGTCATCCACGGCAGCAACACGAACACCTTTGAACTCGCTTATCTTCATTCTTTTCTTCATTTGCAGAAGTTGGCCTCTGTACATAGTGAGGAGTGTGATTTGGCTTGGTTCGTATTCTTGCTTGATGAGGTAGCGACACAAAGCAACCATAAACTCGGCTTCATGAATATTTACATGACTGAGTGACTCGCTTGGGTCCTCATAGAATTCATGGTGAAGAAAGAAAAGGCTGTGCCCAACTCCAGCTATTTTGTGTTGCCCATGTTCAATTGCTCGTGGTCCATTTTGTAGCTCAGGGTAGATAGCTGGATGTATTAGTGAGGCAATGTCTGGCCTCATTCTGTGCTGGACTGTTAGGGTAACATGAGGAATACCATTCTTTATGAGCCTCTCAAAAAGGGAGACGTCAAGATTATACTTCTTTTTAACTAGTTCATAGTGGTTTGGTTTGGGTCGAAGCTGTTTGTGGTCTCCAATGAGGATGAGTTGCTGCACAGAGGGAGGTAAGGAGGTTATGACGTGAGACTCAAAGACTTCAGCAGCTTCTTCAATCACCACAATTTTTGGGTGAATATTTTTTAGAATGTGGTGGTATTTGGCTGCTCCAGTAGTGGTCATTCCAATAATCTCAGCCCCTCTGGTTGCATAACAATCTATTTCATTTTTTATTTGGGAGTAGTCATGGCATATTCTATTGTAGATTATAGCAGGACCTTCTAACTGCCGCTTCTGTACTCTCAGATGTTCTTCAACCCAGTAATGATACATTTGCCAGCGTTGTTTAAGACTTAAAAAGCGTAGGTCCTCAACTTCTTCTGCATTATTCTTTTTCATGGTTGTGTACTGAAACCCTTTCTTGATCCTCTTCCTCGTTTCTTTTTCACTTATTTGGACAGTCTGCCACTCCCTGGTCTCGATTTATTTTTCTGTTCGGCTTTGGCTTTGGAAGCTTTGTACGAGGAGCAAATTTATCATCGAAAAAACACTTCCCCTCTCCATGATTCTTTCCTCTTGTAGGATTGCGGCCTCCTCGTCAACAGCAATCACATCATCTTCTGAGTTGCTTTCTTCTTGTGGTAATGGCTCCTCGTCTGAAAACTGTTGAAAACTTGCAGCTTGTTCATATTCATCACTTTCATCAGTCTCGTTGCATTCTGTGGGTTTCCAGAGATTTAGCCATACCTCTATTTCTTTCCCTGACTCAGTTGGCATACCTTGAGACAACTGAAAAAAGTGCTCACTAGGTATAACATACTTCAATGTC